TGAGTTTGAGGCCAGTCTAGCTGCCTCTCTCCCTCTCTGAGACGCTGTCTGAGTTCACAGCCAGGCTAGCTGCCTCTTTCCCCATCTGAGACCCTGTCTCAAACACAAGAGAAGAACAAAACTGACTGGTGTTCAATGTGGGCCTGTGCTGCATACTGGGCTGTCAGAGGCGAAACTTACTGTCTCTCTGAATTCCCCTGTGTTAGGTGGAAGCTCGTATGTCCCCTGGTGATAGACTGAAGCTTTCTCAATTTTAACTCTCCCCTGCAGGTTATCCATGTAATATATGTATATGTAATTATTATTAGGGCTAGTAATAGCTTGTGTGCTCTAGATCCTGGTATCACAGTTAACTTCTGAGAACTGCTTTTGTCGTGCTTCCTAGTTTTGGGCTCTGCCCTCAGGACATCAGCTCTGGAAGCCACAGATAGGATCAGCTCAAAAGCAGTAAGATAGGGAAAACTAAAATACTGGGTATTCACTTGACCCTACCACCAGCTTGATGTGGGAACTTGGACAACTTACTTCTTTCTATCATAATTTGCACATGAAGATTTTAGACCAATAGCCGGTCTAAAATCTCCTGTTCTCCTGTTCTCCTGGCTCCAGCTACTCAGCATGGTCTATGTGAGGCACTTGACACACACTGCCTTAGCTGGTCCCCATGACTACCCTGTGACAAATACTTTAAAGAGGAAGAAACTGAGGCTTAGGGAGAGTAGATGGCTTGTCAGAGGTCAATGAGTGGTAAGAAACCTTAGACTACCTGGTAGGAGCAGATTAGGAATGGAGCAGGGGTAGGACTCGGGACAACCCTGAGGATTCTTTCTGACAGGCATGGAGGAGGTGCATATCAATGAAAGGACTGTCAGCCCCTTATTGCATTTGTCTGAAGATCGACGGACCCTGACCTTCAGTGCCAAGAAGTCCAAGGCCTGCTCAGATGACCCCGAACGCTTTGACCACTGGCCTAATGCCTTGGCTGCCACCACCTTCCAGGCTGGACTCCACGCCTGGATAGTGAATGTTCAGCACAGCTGTGCTTATAAAGTGGGTGTCGCCTCAGCCCAGCTGCCTCGAAAGGGCTCTGGCAGTGACTGCCGCCTGGGCCACAATGCCTTCTCCTGGGTCTTCTCCCGCTATGCTCAAGAGTTCCGTTTCTCACACAATGGGCAGCATGAGCCTCTGGCGTTGCTTCGGTGCCCAGCACAGCTGGGCGTGCTGCTGGACCTCCAAGCAGGAGAGCTGGTCTTCTGTGAGCCTGCCTCAGGGTCGGTGCTTCACATCCACCGCACGTCTTTCCCTCGCCCGTTGCTCCCAGTCTTTGCTGTGGCTGACCAGCTCATCTCCATCGTTCACCAGTGGCCACAGTGAGGCCAGATCCATGCCCCCCATCACCCTTGCAGGCCAGGCCATGCTTCCTGCTAGTGGCCTATTCCCCGGTGATGTGTGTGGTCTTCCCCATGGGCAATTTTTGAAGAGATGGGATCTGCTTCAAACTCAGACATAACCTTTCAATGTTGATGATCTGTGGGGGACCTGCTTCTCTCTTGGCCTTACTCTCCCAAACCCACCATTCCTTGTGCTCTTCTGAGGGTCTCATAAATCTGTCTCTGCCATCCAACATGGTTCCTGGTGCATGGCTAGTGTACAGTGAGGGAGTATATGGCTGGGCAGGTTGTGACCTGTGATGTGGCAGTCCCTGGAGGTGTCTCTGCAGAGAAGCCTGTGGTGAAGATTCCCTAGCCTCTCAGATCAGTAGTTCTTGGTCTTTTTCATGACACAGCCTGTGGAGAGAATATTTTTCTAGCACACAAAGGACAACCTGCCAGGCAGCTCTTCGCCAGAAAACAGGCCTGGAGGTGTCATGTCCTCTTCCCACATTCTACCATGGCACCAGTGTCCTATCCCCAGGAAATGTGCTTGTAGCACAGTTGTGGGCATTTGTCCCAGGCTGAGCTCTAGCATGGACCTGCCTGTAACAGGGTGATCCCCCTCACTGTGCTGATGAGCACCCCACATCATGACTCTTTCCTTGGGGTGGAGACCTGACTGGAGAGCTTCAAACCAGAAGAGCAGAGGGGAAAGGAGTGTTGTTAGAGGCTTCTGAACGCTTAGTGATGTCTTTGCTGTAACTTGCTTCAAAGCTGCATGGCAGCCTTAGGTACAGGCTTAGAAATAAGTGGGCCATGGCTCCCCCAGCAGAAAGGGCCTGGAGATGTTGAACCAAGATGTTGAACGTCTCTTTGCCATTTCCTTCATAAGGAGTTCATCTGAGGATAATATTTTTGCGAGAACTGGGGAGGAAGCTTGGTGGCAGAGCACCTGGCTAGCATGCCAAAAGCCCTGAGTTCAATTCCTAGCACTGCAAACTGAGCAGTTTGAAAATCAGGGTGGTCACAAATCCAGCTGGCAAATAGTCGCTGTTCTGCTTCAGTCCCTTATTGCCGTGCAGAAATGTGGTCCCAAGATGGCTATCAGGAAGATCTTTGGAGAACTGTGTGTTCAATTTGGGCACACATGCATGTAAGTGCATATGAAGGCCAGATGCCGTCTTCAGAAGTGCCATCTCCCCTCTGCAGACAGTCTCCAGTTGGCCGGACTGGCCGGTGGGCCTCAAGGACCTGTCTGTCTTAGTCTCCCTGCTGCTGGATTCCAAGCGCACATCACCATACCTGGCAAGTTTATGTGGGTTTTGGTGATCAAATTTGGGTTCATGTTAGTAGTGAGCAAGCATTGCTCACTAGTATTTTCTTTCTCCCTAGTCTTTTTGATTTTTAATTTTAAAATTTATTATGTGTGCTTAATATGAGGTGATATTCATGTGCCATGGTGCACATGCAGAAGTCATCAAAGGATAGCTTTATTGTTGTAGAGTCTTCCCTTCCATCTCTGTGGAGGCCCAGGGCAAACATGGGTCATCATAAGGGTTTTTTGTTTGTTTGTTTTTTACACAGGGTTTCTCTGTGTATCCCTGGCTGTCCTGGAACTCGCTCTGTAGACAAGCCTGCCTCTACCTCCCACGTGCTGGGATTAAGGATGTGTGCCACCGCCACCTGGCTCATTTGTTGCTTTTTACTGTTTCACATAGCCTAGGCTGGCCTTGAACTCATTATGTAGCCTCCACCTCTAGAATGCCAGGGTTACAGACATGTGCTACCATGTCCATATGTGAAATGCTTTGTTAGGTTTGCTTACTCACTTATTCAAAACACCAGTCAGATCAAATCCACAGGTCTGCTATTGTCAACTAACTTTTGTTGAAGATTTCTGAGACCCTTGTAGCTGGGACCACAGTTCATGACTTGTGTTCACTGCCTGACCCTTAGGAGTCACTACTGAGTCATCAGATCCAAGGCAGACAGATCCAGAAAGGTTTCACCAGTCTGAAGAGCTCTGCTGTTGCCTGGACGTGGGCTCTGTTAAAAAAAAAAAAAAAAAATCTAGGGACAAAGTCACCCTCTTCCACTAGTATCCAAAGGCCCCATGCCATGCCTTGACCACCAACTCAGGTGCTGTAGCAGTGTTCAGCTCACAGTTCATGGTGGGGCTGTTGCAAACACACCTCTTCCCCTGCCTGTCCAGATATTACCCAAGCTTTATTCCCTGGTGAGATACTCCTCCAGAGTCACTGTTGTGTGTATCCGAGCATATATACTCATGTTTATCTGTGCTAATAGCCCATGGTATCCCGTGTGCCCAGCAATGAACAAGTCACAGATTTATCTAATAGACAACATCTATATAGGTAAGACAGGAAGGAAAATTGAATTGAAAAAAAAAATCAGCCAGGTGTCATGGCCCACACCCATCCCAGCACTTGGAAGGCAAAACCAGGAGTTCAAGGCCAGCCTGATCTACAAGGCAAGTTCTAGGACAACCAGGACTACACAGAGAGACCCTGGCTTGAAAGGCAAAAAAATTCCACTGCACTGTCTCACATGACATGGGTCCCTGTCTATTTGTAACCCAGTGGTTAAATCAATAGATTTTGGAGTCAGGCAGGCCAAATTTGGAATCCAGGTTTCCTCACAAGTGTGACCACAGACAGATTAAGCCCTGGATCTCAGTTTCTTCATATATAAAGTGGGGGTTATGCCACCTCTGCCCACTGAATAGCTTTGAGGTAAAAAAAAAAAATTTAGTGGGCTGTGTGTGGTAGCACATGCCTTTAAGCCCTCTGGGAGGCAGAGGCAGGTGGATCTCTGTGGGTTCAAGACCAGTCTGGTCTACAGAGAGAGTTCCAGGACAGGTTTCAAATCTACACAGAGAAACCCTGTCTCAAAAACAAAAGAAAATATTTATGAGGGTATCTGTCGCAGGGCAGGCACAAGCCAACACTGTCCTTCTTAGAACAGTTATACTGCCCTCCTCTCAGGGCTGCCAGTGCACAGCGTTCGTGCTGTATGGCCAGCACCCTGGCTCTCAAATCCATCAAATCCTGAGGTTCCAAGGTTGGGAAGGGGATTTCTGTTTCAACTTCTCTGGGCTTTTTTGATTTTGTGTGTTGCACAGTGGGGTTTCAGACCTCCAGTGACAACAAGCCCTTGCTGTAAAGGTGGGGGAGAGAGAATGAGAATCTATCTAGTTTGAATGCAGGGCCTCATAAGGCAGACAAGTGCTCTACCACTGATCCATGTCCCCAGCTCTTAGAAGAGAAGGCTGATGGAGGAAGATCATGAGTTCCAGGCCAGTGTGGACTAGAGTGCATTCACATCAACCTGGTTGTGAGTAGGGTCCCTCCATGGATAGAAAGGACAGAGGGAACTGGCGAGACGGCTGGGTGCATAACAGCACGCGCTGCACAAACTCTGTGATCTCAGCCCAGTCCCCAGAACCCATGGAAAGATGGAGAGACCAGAGTCTATACAATTAGCCTCTGACCCACACCCCCCTCCATAGAATAATAAAAAGGGATGGAGGTATGAATGATGAGCAAGCTCAAAGACTAGGCTACTGCCAAGCTCTTGCTGTTCTAGGATCAGAATAGTTTATCGAGGTAGGAGAGGGGAGAAAGAATATTTATTTGGTCCCACCTACTTCCCCGTCAGACTTGTGACAAGAGGGCTTGAGGCCTCCAGAAGGTCAAGGGCAGGCAGAAGATGGGACAGAGAGAGTAGAATATGCTCTTTAGGTACAGAATCTCTGACTGAGGAGTGCAAAGGCTCTGGACCTACCACCAGGAAGCTGTGCATGCCCACAGCCCGAGCCCCCTGGTAATCGCAGGGGTAACTATCCCCAATATGAGCTGCTACTGCAGGTTCTACATGAGCAAGTTGCAAGGCCTCGTGGAAAATTCGTGGGTCTGGTTTAGGACAGCCCATTGCCTCAGAAGTCAAAACAAACTCAAAATGTTCTCGCAGGCCAAGGCCTACTAGGATGTCCTCTAGTCGTCGGTCAAAATTGGAGATCACAGCCAGCCTCAGACCCCGCTTGCGGCACTCCTTCAGGGTAGTCTCAGCCCCCTCCAACACCTGCCAGGTGGAGGGACTGCTGAAGTCCTCATAGAGATGATCAGCAACGGGAATAATGGCCTGGGCATCTGGGACCCCTGCCAGGTGGAAGGTGTGGAGGACCAAGTCCTTCCACCATTGACGGGAGGTAAGGCCACAGTTCTGGCCATAGTTGGGAAAGTTGTGGCTCTGAGTTCGGTATGCCTGTCCAAAGGCTTGTTCCAGGGCTGTGGCATCTACCACCAGCCCATGGGCCTGGGCCTTGCTGGCATATTCCTCCCCAACAGAACGGCGGAGCTTGATCAGGGTATCCTTTATATCCCATGTCAGAAGACGTATCTGCAGCCGGTGTGCCATGGACATCACGGTCACTGTAGGGTTCCAGATCAAAGAAGACACTAAACTGGTTCAGGTCTCCTCTACGCTTCCCAGGCTGTGTAGGTCAGAGTTGTAGGCGGACACGAGGCACTTTGGAAATGCCTTTCAGCACAAGATCCTGGAGTGAACATTGGCAGGTGAGATGGACCCTGATGTTAGACACTTGGGTCAACATTCTGAAGGACAAAGTTCATGTCCTGAGAAATTACTCTCTGAACACCTGTGACTCTCACCCAACCCCTCAAGATCTTGAGGCTGGAGCTAGAGCTGCGGCTCATTTGGTAGAGTGCTTGCCTAGCCTAGCATACAGAAAGCCTGGGTTTGATAGCCATACCGAATAAGCTTGGCATAGTGGCATACATCTATAATCCCAGCGACTAGGAGGAGGAGAAGGCAGGAGACTCAGAAGTTCAAAGTCATCCTTGGCTACATAGCAAGCCTGAGACCAACCTGGGATGAACTTGTCTCAAAAAATAAAACCCAATGAAGATTTTTCGACTAAATGAAATTATTTATGCATTTGCTTCAAACCAAATTTCTGGGCATCTTATGAGCCATATGTTGGGGAAGAAGACAGATTCTAGCCCCTGTGGCATTCCTAGGCATCAAATGATAAGGGTTTCTTTGTAGACAAATAACTACAAAGCAAGCATAATGAAGTCAATATGTAGCACGAGGCTGTAAGTCCAGAACCCAGTCTCTGAGCTCAGGACATTTCCTTAGCAGATGAAGTTCTGGGGGCCTTGAGGCTGGGCAAAGTATACTGCTCCAGGTGGAGCTAAGCTCAGCTACACAGCTTTGTAGGTCAAAGTTGGGAAGCAGTTATGATTGCTATTATCTGTATGTTGTATTTTGCCTTCATGTAAGTACACCTCAGTCACATTTGGTGCCTGTAGAGCCAGAAGGTGTCAAATCCCCTGGAACAGAAGTTTCAGACAGTTGTGAGCTGCCATGTGTGTGCTGGGAACTGAACCCAGGCCATCTGAGCCATCTCAGAGCCCATGACACTGTTAAAATTATTAGTAAATGTGATCCTTCTTTGAAGACCCGTGCTTGAGTATGCCTGACTTTCTCCTGACTCTCATGCTTAAGCCTATATTAAAATATCATTAATAAGATCTCCAACTTCATCAAAAAACCAAAAACCCTATTAGTAATGTCAAAAGAGAGGACGGTCCCTGGTCTGATGAGCAACATGGCTGGAGAGGGGAGGATGGAGCCAGTGAGGGGTGGTTACTTGCCTATGGTCAGTCAGTCTGCAGACACAGCCAGGATTAGAACCCAAGTGTCCAGACAGGGCTCCCTTCCACTGGACTTTGATTACCTATATTTATATTCTTTCAAAAATTGGGTTATGCTGAGCCTGTACAGGGTGGGACAGAAGACAGTCTGTTCCTACCTGGCTCTGAGCTGCTAGAGTTTGTAATAACAACTGCCACCGAGGCCAACCCAGGAGGGCAACTGACCCAATGCCCAGACACCAGTTCTCCGCCCGGAGTCAGAGACCGATTGCAGCTTTCTCTCCCAGACAGACCTGACTGCAGACAAAACTGTCTCTTTGAATCTGAGGGGGCCGGATTCATTCAGAATGCAGCCAAACAGGCGCAGATAGAGGTGCGAGTAGGGTAGGGCGCTTAGAGAAATGTGACAAAGAGAAGGATTTAAATTAGCTTGATAAAGGGAGACCACTTTAAAGGTCTTACTGCTCAAGTGGGTAGGCCGAGGCCCAGCCAGGAACCTGACTACATCCTAAACAGCTCGGGACACCTCTGGCTCAGCTATGGCCCAGGGAAAAAAAAAAAAAAGGTGTAGCAGGGGTAGGGGCTTCCAGGCAGGCCTGACCACCCTGAAAGCAGCATGACCCGGGCTCCAGCGTCCACCGCTCGGCTGCACAGCGCCCCCAACGGCTCAGCGGCCCCCACCCCGGGGCCCACCACCTACCTGGTTCAGAGAAAGAGACCAGAGAGACAGCAGCTGCTCCACCGGCTCCACATAGACGCAGAAGCGCGCGACCCGCGCCGACTTGACATTGCTTCTCGCCCCACCCTGCTCTGGGCGTCACCAAGCTCCTCCCTCGTGCCGGTCTCCGGTCTTTGTTCCTTCCGTTACCCCCGTAGCCTCCCTGCTCCCGGTCCCACGCTGTCACGTCGTCCCCCTGCTTCTCAAGGTCACAATCTCAACCCGTGATTCTCTCAGCTTTTCTCTACCCCGCTGCCCTCCCCCGCCCGCGTCCCCACTTCCCACATCCCAGGAATGGGAACACCCGGGGAAGTACCTAGACAGATTTGGGGATTTGGGTCTCGGCCTGTCTCCCCTAGTGCTTGTAGTGAGGACTCCAGCAATGCGCTATTGCTAAACCTCTGTTCTGAGAGACCCCAAAGGGTTCTAGAGAGAATTTACTTGTCATACCCACAGAGGTCATTGAGGCAGTAGGTAGGGGTCCTCTGCAGTAACCTAGACAGTTTTAGTTTCGTTTAGTTTTTCGAGACAGTACAGGGCTTCTCTATAGTTTTGGAGCCTGTCCTGGTACTACCTTTTGTAGACTAGGCTGGCTTCGAATTCACAGAGATCCGCCTGCCTCTGCCTCCCCAGTGCTGGGATTAAAGGTGTGCGCCACCACCGCCCGGCTAGTCACTTAGATTTAAGATAGGGTTCCACTATGCAGGTCAAACTGACCATGAACATCTCTTGCGTCAGCCTGCTAAGTGCTGGGATTATACACACGCCACCACTGAGTTTGTCTAGCCTAGGTAAGGAAGAGTCGTGTTTTCATAACTGAAACACGTTTATCTTAAAAAAAAAATAATGTCCGAAGCAAACAAAGCTGCACCCTCAACTTTGTTGATTCGCCAAGTGCTAAGCAAGCACCTGTGCTCTGTGCCTGACCCATTCATTCTTCACTGAGGATACAGCAGTTTCCTGCCTACACGAACATGAAAGAACAGGCAAAAATCAAGCTAATACATGAAATGCACTCTAAGTGCAGCCAAGGATTTTGGGAGAGGCACTTCCCACTGCTCTTTACTGTCCTTCCTCCACCAACACCTCTTAAAACATGTTATCTCCTGGTTTTCTGTGGACTTTGAATGAACTCGACTTGTTCTCACTGGGCCTCAGAAAACAAAGTGCAAAGTCATGGATCAGACGGATTTTGTGTCACAAGGGTAATTCTCAGATATGGAGGTAGGAAGGGTAGCCAGGACATCAGAGTTCCACCTGTTTCTCATAGAATCCAGAATCCCTGACTGTCTCATTTCAGGGTCACCCCAACTAACCCTTTAGGTTTAGATCCCAACTCTTCCACTCTGGGGACTAGACAAAGTAACTTCCAATAGAATCCAGGCTAACTTTAAGTGGATTTCCAAGATAATTAATGTCACCTGTCATTCCATATAGCTCTGCACATGAAGACGGCCTGACAGACCACATAGAAGACCTCTGAGGATTTATGAAGATTCATTTTAAATGGATGTTTAAGAATTTTGTTTGGGGTCATATACCACACAATACAGAGCCACCACACCACACATCTCCAGAGAGTGTCAGTGTATATCTGCTCACCTTGATTTAACTGTTGGCCCTCCAGAATCTGCTAGGTTTGCTAGTAGCAAATACAATTAATAATAACGAAGAAATAGTAGCTGCAGGTGTCACCAGTGTCCTGGGGTATGACAGGAAAGATTCTGATTGTTTCTGATACTCTGTATCTAGCTTCTTTTGGATTTGCAAGTTCCAAGGTAGGTACACTTGGCCAGGTAGCACACACCGGCAAGTCCAGTTAGGAAGGCAAAGCAGAAGGGTCACTCCAAGTGTCAAGCCAAAGGATCCCTTCAAACAGACAAATAGTACATGGATATGATTTAATGAATATGTTCTCATCCCATAGCTAAATTACAAAACTCCCCTGACAGTTTCAGCCTTTTGTTAGTTCATTCTATGTCCTCTGGCTTGTTACTATGTGAATGCTAGCTCGGGCTGTTTTCTTGTTGGGAAATCAAGTTTCTTAGATGAAACATTTCCCTCCATGAGAGCTCCTGTTGAAGACTAAGGAAACGCAGGCAAGGGCACACCTGACAGGCACACATCTCTTATTACTTTTAATTTTCATTTACTTTTTAAAGTTTCAGTCAAAACACACAGGAAAAAGTATATATGCCTTTAATCCTAGTACTCAGAGGCAGAGGGCAGACTGGTATCTGTTTGAGGCCAGCTTGGTTTACAGAACAAATTCCAGGACAGCCAGGGCTACATAGTAAAACCACATTTTTTTTAAAGTATGTTTTTGAATTTTAACAGTATGTATACCCTACCCAGACACCCCCCCTCCAATCTAGATGCCATGAGCAGGTCTTCTTTCACTTGCTTATCTCTCAAGTGAGAGCAAAAACCTCCACCTTGCCCCCTTTTGAGATAGGATCTCACACAGTAGCACAGAACTATGTTGTTGCCCTATTTCATCCACAGCAATCCTAAGTGCTGAGATCCAAGCCTGACCCACTTCTTTATGTGCGTGGCACTGGAACTGAACCAGAACCAGGGAAGTGCTCTTCTTACCTCTGATCTGGGCTTCTGGTTTTTCGAGACAGGGTTTCCCTGTGTAACAGTACTATCTGTCCTGGAACTAGCTCTTGTAGACCAGGATGACCTCAAACTCACAGGGATTCACCTGCCTCTGCCTCCCGAGTCCTGGGATTAAAGGCAAGCGCCACCACTGACCAGTTGTGTTTTTAATTGTAATCTCACTTGTTTGTGAGCTGTGTAAATGGAACAGCATGGCAGGCACATTCTTGTATCTTCCTTTGCTTCTAAGTTTTATTAATCCGCATCACACTGTTCCTTTTCAGAACTGTAACATTCCATAATCAAAATGGAATACACCTCAATGCTGATGGCACTGGGTTAGTTCGTCTGGGATGATCACACATATTAGAAAGTGTTATGAACAATTTTCTCTTGGGTTGATCTACAACATTGGCTTATGATCCTCCCATCTAAGTAGCTGAAGACAGCAGGCACATGTGAACCTACTAAGTGTGTCTCAGAGAACACCAGTAAATACTTTTGATAAGTACTTAGGTGTGGCAATCAGGATACCCTTGTTAAGTATGCCTCCTTTCAGTAGTTTCTGAAGCGGCTGTACTAGTAACTACAGGTCTCTTGTTTTGCCTTCTCAAAAGTATCTACCTTTCAGTGTTAAAAAAAAAAAGGATTTATGACACCTCAATGCTCCCCACCCCTTTGGTGCTCATGCATGTGATTTGTGAGTTATGTTGCATGGGATAGCCTTGAACTCACAATCCTCCTGCCCCAGGTGTCCAATGCTGGGTTTATAAGAATGTGCTACCACACTTAAGAGATGAAAAATGTAATGTAGCAGAACGAAACAGAAGCTGAGATCAATCCCCCTGCCTGCACAAACTGACAAACCAGTCCCAGTGTGCTTACAGAATTATATTAACTCTCGCACACACACACGAATACCAAAGTGGGCATGTGGTAGTCAAGAGACATGTTTTGGAAGTTAATTCTCTCTTTTCAGTGGGTGCTATGGATTGAATTCAGGTCAGGCTTGCAAGACAAGCATTTAGATCTGTTGAGTCATCTCACCACTTCCAAGAAGTAAACCTTTAAACTTACTATTTTGGCTTTTGTTCTGTTCACTAATTCAAATACAGAGGGTACGTTTTGACAGATTGTTGGATCAGGTTTGAGGAAGTGACACCAGAGGATCATTGGTACAAGGGTCAGGGCCTTGCCAGCCTTTCATGGGGCAGCTCAACTAACTGTGTTGGCCCTCGTAGTTCATAGTGAGTGAACCAAATGGCAGGCATGTGACCAAGCAGAGCAACCACAGCTCTTCTGGCAGGGAAGGGACAGAATGGTTCTTTCTCTGAGATTACAAATCTTAGGGATCCTTTTAGGGTTACAGGGTTCACATTGTTTACTCGGAAGGCTTATCTACAGCAATAAAGTCTACACAAGGCCAAGAGTAAGTCTTTGACCCAAGGACACATCTGGCCTTATCAAGATCTTGGTGTGAAAACCAGTTGAGCAGCTTTTTCTATTTAACTGTTTTAGCCTGCAATCAAGCCCACCAGAATCTGGTCCGCCATAAATCACAGGCCCTTCCTGTGTGGCTGGTAGTCCATGTGGGACAAGGGCTGGAAACCCATGGTCTCCTCTCTGGGGAATTAAGTAGCTGATTAAAATGCCCGTCAAACAGACAAGCTACAGTCTAAACTGGCCCATTTGAGAACAAAAAACCAAGTCTTCTGCCTAGCACCCAGCAGATCTGGAAGGCTGATAACATGCCTCACCAGACTGTGAAAGACAGGTGCAGAGCCATAGGAAGACATCAACCTTTCCAGATGACTTTCAGGTCCTTCATGATTTTAAAAAACGACCTTCCCCTGCTGCTGGGACTTGTCTAGAAGTCCTGGCAATCATCCTGCTAACTTCATAGGCACAATTGCCCCTCCTACCCTAACCTCCTAGATGCCCATGATTGCTTTCTAAAGATGTAGATGGCTGCCACCAAGTGGACACTTTAGGTGACAAGACTCCAGGGGGCACCACTCAGACTGACACCTGAAGGAAAATGGGCTCCTGGGCCTTCCTGCCATGCCAAAGTTGACCACACACATGCACCAGCCATACTGCTTACTGGAAGGTGTCAAGAAGTGGTTGAAAGCAGAGACTTTGGAGTCAGATCAGAATGCCACATCTAGGTTTCTTTGTAGCTGTGGTCTTACCCAGTTCTGTCACAAGTATACGTAGCCCCGGAGGAGCTACTTATTTAAGAATTATGTAAGAATCCCAAGCTAAACTTACCTTGAACCTGTTTTCTCCACTAAATGGCCCACCTGCCATCTAGACAAGTAAGTTCATCTCTCATGCCCAATTTACCTCCTAAATACATCTATGGTCACTTAGCCCACACAATCCAAACATCTCATCTGTACCATGTCATGGTGTTAAGAGAAAATGCAATATGGTCATTCTGCCAACATCCTTGGAATAGAGTTAGGGAAATGTGACCTCGAACCCGTGTGGTTTGGCCTGAAACTCCACTCTGGAGGTCACCTGCTTGTATCTTTCCTGGCATGCCAGCCACTCGTCCTGTGCTCATTTAGCTTTGGGTCCCTGGAACTTTGCACAACAGTTCTTTCCCTAGAACACTCTTGCCCAATTCTGTCTCAGTTGTTCATCCAAATATTGGTCCTTCAGGGAACTGTTTTCTGACCCTTCAAAGGTCAGGGCCTGGGGACCTTCACACTTCACATTGTGTCTGCTCAGTGTCTACAATAAGTTCCTGGATAAATCAGTTAACATGTTGCACCTGAAGGGCAGCACATCTTCTGGCTTTCTGCACTGACTTGGTGACAATGGCTCTGGGATGGCCTAGGAAAGCCATCCCTAACACATGAACCATTTTACCTGGAGAAGAGCTCAGAGGTGGTGGAACATGCCTAGGAGATAAGACAGTTCATTTCTAGTCTGGTATACTTTTGGCTCAATGATGGTGTGTCTCAAACTAGTGATCTAGGCTCAGGCTCCCAGAAAGGGAATGTTTAGGACTCTTAAGATCTGATTTTGCAGAGAACCTAGACAACAAAGAGGACCCAATGAGAGACATACATGGATCTAATCTACATGGGAAGTAGAAAAAGACAAGATGTCCCGAGTAAATTGGGAGTGTGGGGAGAGAAGTGGAGAAAAATACATAGCTCAATAAAAACAATTTTAAAAATCTGATTTTAGAGGCTACCTTTCACAGGGTGAGAAACAGGAAGATCAGTTCTTATAGGTCAGTCACAGCTCTAAATGAAAGTTACCAAGAGTTAGGACCAGCCTGACTTCAGAAGCTGCCAGTTTATAACCCAGTAATTCTACATTTTAAAAATGGATTTCATTTCACTTTTGAGTCTGAACTGAACTTGCTTTGGTGCTAGTGAGGACTCTGAAGTCAGGTGAGCTGCAAACTAGCCCTAACTTTCATTAGTGGCAGTGTGTATGTCACATGTCAGATGAACTGATAGCAGCCGGTGCTTAAGTTGCCACAAAGACACCCTTACTCCCTTCCACCAAAATCTCTAGTCCTCTTTCCAGATTCTCTCTCTCTCTTTCCCTGTTTTTTCGAGACAGGTTTCTCTGTAGCTTTGGAGCCTATCCTGGAACTTGCTCTGTAAACCAGGCTGGCCTTGAACTCAGAGATCAGCTTGCCTCTGCTTCTGAGTGCCATTACTTCCTAGCTCTTCAGACTCTCTCTTGAAGGGCTAGAAGGATAGCTCAGGGGCAGAGGTGAGCATTCAGTCCTTAGTGGAGCAAATCAAACCAAACCAAACCACCTCAACATCTTTAAGAAGGCTGTCATTAGATGCCAAATAAAATCTAAAGTCCCTGCCAGGTGTGGGAAGCAATCGCTCCAAGCTCCAGCCTGTTATCCACCTTCCTCCTGGACTGTCGTCCAGTCCTGTAAAACTCCCCGCAAAGGGGTCTCTGAGGTCTCAGCTGAGGGGCAGCTTCTATGTCTTGACCCTTGCCTTCTAAGCAAATATCACTTCAAAACTGCTTTCTTATATCTTATCTGACTCCCCTTTCTCTGACTAGAGACAAGCTACTGTGTGTCCTGCTGCGTCCAGATAGCCCTGGGCAGTTCTCAGAAACTGTCGTGTATGTGTGTGTGTGTGTGTGCACACGTGTGCACGCGCACGTGTGCTCGTGTGTTGGTTGCATCTCCTGCAACCAGGAACTCCCTCTGCTTCTAGGATTTGATCCTCACTAATGCATAAGTCTTCTTTGAGGTTCAAGATCCAGCTGCTCCCCTCTCGTCACAAATCCCAAGGCCTGTGCCTAGGGCTTCTGGCTCCTGCCAAGCTGAAGCCACACCTCAGAAGCAGGGAGATGGGAAAGAGAGTGGGAGCTCAGCACGTTGGCAGGGCCACCCATGGTGCTACACCCGCCAACAGCACAGGCAGGAAGACGGCACAGGCACAGTTCAGCAGTGGCCTTTACTTTGGTTTCATTCGAGGCCCAAGCAGCTCTGTCCAGATCAAATCCTATGCTCTCCATCACTCTTCCTTTAGCCACTTCAACAACTGCGGTGCAAAGTAGGTGATGATAATGTCGGCACCTATACAGAAAACAAAAATGAGAGGGTTATGACATTAGCACACTTGGGAGAGGAGGGCCAGGCAGGGAAAGGCCACCATGGAGAGGCACAGCATGGTGTCACAGCCCAAGACTGAACCTGGCTGCAGGCAGCTCCAAACACTCAACAAGTCATTCTCTTGTTCTGGGGTCCGATTTGCTGATGTGTGATATGTGCAGGCAAGCACAAGCCTGAATGTCCTAGCTGGTCTGGGGACATTGAGGCCCAGATTACAGACATTTATTCATTTATTTCTAGCTGAGGTTCTTTTTCCTCCTGCCATGTCACTGAGATCCAGCCAGGGCTGACCTAACTATCTCCTCATGGGTTTCAGTGATGAGCCTCAGTTCCCAATTTTTTTTTTTTTTTGAGACAAGGTTTCTCCGTATCTTTGGTGGAGTCTGTCCTGGAACTAGCTCTTGTAGACCAGGCAGGCCTCTCCCTCCTGAGTGCTGGGATTAATGGCGTGTGCCACCACCGCTGGGTTTCAATTTGCTTTTTTCTTTTCTTTTCTTTTTTTTTTAGCCATTCTGACAGGTGTTAAGATGGTGTAAGGTGGTATCTTAAAGTTGTTCTGATTTGCATTTCCCTGATTGCTAAGGAAGTTGAACATGACCTTAAGTGTCTCTTGGCCTAGAAGAGGGCACCAGACCTCATTACAGATGGTTGTGAGCCACCATGTGGTTGCTAGGAATTGAACTCAGGACCTTTGGAAGAGCAGGCAATGCTCTTAACCACTGAGCCATCTCTCCAGCCCTCAATCTGCTTTTTTTCTATGGACCTTTCTGGTAAGTGGGGATAACAGGTGTCTGCTGTACAGGGTAGTCAGAGTATACACTGCATATTATCTCAGGCACTCCTCAGGACAGTACGTCCCAGGTATCTTATCCCAGCCTATGGACAAGGACCCCAAGACTGACAAAGCGGCTTGCCCAAGCTCTCACAACCAGGAAGCTGTATGGCGGTCCTATTTCTGTCATCACTGCACATTTTTCTGCCCTTCCTCATACTCTTCTTTATTTGTGCCCAGTGATCCGAACTTCTGGGCAAAGAATCCAAGCTTCTCAAGACTTTTGCTTTCTTACATGGGCAGAGTGCCCATCAGGCCCTGTGACACAAACCCCACCCCTGCTTACCAGCCCTGCGGAAGGCAGTCACAGACTCCAGTACAGCAGTCCTGAGATCAAAGGCCCCAGCCTGAGCTCCGTGCCACAACATGGCAAACTCTCCTGACACCTGGTATACCGCGAGGGGGAGCTCGGGATGCTGCAGAGAATGGCAAATGGATTCAAGTGACTGTCCCTTCCTTCCTGCCCAGTCTGAATAATCACTGCCCTGAGGGCCCGTCCACAGCTGAGCCATGGCAGTACCGAAGCAGGGGTGGGAGAGGGCTCCTGTTTTTGGCTCAGAGATTGATTCTAGAGCGCCCCCCATCCCGGATTTAGGGTCCACTATAGGGGACAACCTCTCCCACCCTACATTGACCTTACCTTGTCCTTCACCTCCCGCACCACATCTAGGTAGGGCAATCCCGGCTTCACCATGAGCATGTCAGCTCCTTCCCGAATGTCCCGGGCCTAGGGATAAGGACCAGGTGTGGGTAGCGCCTGAGACAGGGACGGGACAGGACAGGACAGGACAGGACAGGTGGGTATGGGGCTTAAGTTCAGATCACTAACGACTGCACGGAGGGCCAGGCCACGGGCTCCAGGAGGCAGCTGATAACAGCGGCGGTCCCCAAAAGCTGGGCTCGACTGAGCTGCATCCCTGCAAAGAATATCACAATGCTGGGATCCAGCGTCAGGAGACTGGGCCAGGAATTTAATATACCACTGTTGACGCCACTCACCGGAAAGGGCCATAGAAGCAGGAGGCAAATTTGGCACTGTAGCTCATCACAGAGACCTAGAGAGAAGACAATGGAGTCGAGGCTGAGTCAGCCCTTCCCAAATCCCAGGGGTGAAACAAGGGAAGGCCCTCAGGCAGGAATCAAAGGACCTATAATCTAGTCTCTGAACACTAGGCCTTGATTTCTGAGGCTGAGGTGGAACCCAAAGGCCTCACCCAGCATCGCTCTCAATTCTGAGATGCACTGTATGTACTGGTTTGCGTGTGGGTACGTGTGCATGCACATGCATGCGGAGCACAGACAACAACGGCAGCATTCCTTAGGTGCTGTCTACGGTTTCTGAGATAGGATCTCTCACTGGCCTACAACTTTACCAAGGGTAGTAGGCTAGCTGGCCAGCAAGCTCCACCTCACCATCACTGGGATTATACACATACACCACCATGCCTGCTTTTTACATAGGTTAGAAAATCCGAACTCAGGTCCTCACACTTGCAAGCAAGTGTTTTACTGACTAAGCCATATTCCGAGGGCTAGCCCAGGCCCTCTCCTTCCACCCATCCTCACTCCCCTCCCTGCCCTTAGGTCATACCCTGTTGCCAAGTCCATGTTTTAGCAGGGCAGTCTTGATGGCTTCGACACGTCCGTCCATCATGTCTGATGGAGCTACAACCTGACATCCTGAGGGACAGAGGGTGACCTTCAGAATTCTGGATCTTTCTTGCCCACATGCCAACTCCCCGTCTCTGCTACTAGGGCACTCACTCACCTGCCTTGGCATAGGCCAGTGCTACCTCTGCCAACCGCTGTCGGCTTTCCTCAGCTAGGAATGCTCCTTTCTCACTCAGGAGGCCTGGGAGACAAGATGGTGGATTGGGAGTGCACCTTGGCCCTTGTCTGTCCCCACCCTGGGGGACAGCTGGGCTGAGACAACAAGGTCTGTATGCAGGAGCTCACCACAGTGACCATGGGAGGTGTAGGGGCACAGGCAGACATCACAGGCCACTAGGAGGTCAGGGAAGGTCTTCCTCAACAAGCGGATGGCCTCAACAGTTGGGGAGTCCTCAGAGTCAGCTGCAGAGCCCTGTTCATCCTGGAGCCAGGGGAAGGACAAGGTGGTACGTCTATTACACACGTTTTCAGAAGGTAGCCCGCTGTCATCCCACTGAAGACTGGAGAGAGGCGCTGGACTGGCCCCATTTACGGAGCACAGCAGAACCACCCAGTAAAGCTGTCACAGTCCTACTCATAAGCTTCCTGACCTGGGGTCAAAGGCAAAGAATACAGCAATGCTATGGCCCCCAAAGCCTGCCCAGAGCAGAGCAAGGCCACAGTGAGCATAGCGCTCCAGTCCTACCTCCCTCGGGCTTCGTCTTTCCTTCCTTCTTATATGTGTATGTGCATGTGTGTGTCCACATGCGGAGACCACAGGCCAAAACTGGGTGTCTTCCTCAATCACTCTCCACTTCAGTTTAATTTTTTTGTTTTGGAAGCAGGGTCTCACTCACCATGCAGTTCTGGCTGGCCTAGAACTAGCTGTATAGACCATGCTGGCTCTGAACTGAGAGAGAGGCTGCCTGTCGTATCAATCTCATGCTGGGATTAAAGGTGTGCACCACCATGCCACAGGTCCCCAATCAGGCAGACTGGCTGTCCCGCAAACCCCCGGGAGCCCCATGTCTCTACCTCCTCAGCATAGGAGAACAAACATGGGTCTTGGGACTGAACTGAGGTCCTCAAGCTGGAGCGGCGAGCTCTTTACCAGCCCAGGCGCACCCAGTCCTCACCTCCCCTCCCTCACTCTTCCAGTTTTCACCTTGGGAACTCTGCTGGGGACACCGAAGATCAGGACAGCGTGCAGGCCTGCTTCCACCAAAGGTCTCAGCATGTCCTCTAGCTGGTTTACGCCGTACCTGGGGAAGGCCAAGGAAGCCGAAGCCCTGGGGGAGCAGGTCTCCTGCCCAGGCCTCCGCACCTTTCTGTTAGCTCTGTGGAAACACACTTGCTAGCATGTGAGAAGTCCTCAGTGCAGAGCCAAGCTGTGTAGGGCACCAGGAGAGTGCAAGCCCCACAGTCCAGGACCAGGTAGTAACATACCCACCAGAGAGACGGGCAAACTGGGTCACAAACAGCAGAGCTATGCAGTTAGCTGTGGCAGACTCCGTGCCTTTTACTCAAGTCCCATCTCAAGCTCAGTTCCTGCCTACAACAGCCTCTGCCACAATGTCTCTGATGGTGGGATGCTTGTCACTTTATGAGGTTGCTTCCATACTAGCTAACAATTTACTCTCCACAAAATCCTTCTTTCCAGTGTCTTTCCATATCTGCTACCTGTAAAGTGTGCTTCTACTTCCTGGCACCTGCACCTGTGAAATCTCTCCTTCCACCATCCCCGCCACCCACCATAACCCCTACCTGGCCACTCCTGGGAGGCTGGCAATAGGCTGGACATCATCAGGAATATCCCTACAAGAGTTGGAGAGGGTTACGGATTACTGGTTGTGTGACAAGGATGGATGGGGAGCTGGGAGAGGATGAAGGAGCAGAGATGGAGGGAGGAGGTGGGATGTCTGATCCCCCTGCCTGGCCAAACCCAGGCCTAAAATAGTAACAGGAACAATAATAGCGTGGCAGTAAGAGCAAAAGCACTGAAAGACTTAAACTCCGAGTTCAGAGGGTCCTTGTGTCTTAGCCTAGGTACGTTCTAAGGGATCTGAGCCAAGACGTAGCATCTCCTTTAGCTCTTCACCTGGATCCTGTGTGGATTTACCCAACAGTTCTCATGTGCTAGGTAGTGTTCTAGGTACTGATAAGAGCAGTGAGCCAGGCAACAATCCCTGCCCTCCAGAGTTGAGACGCATAAGGATGTCTTTTTCTTCCTTGTGAAGAGGCCAGGACTGCAGACGCCTAGCACAGTACCTGCTATGCAGTAAGCACTCCATAAATATCTTCTGTGGTTGCTAACAATTCTAACTGCTTGACAGTTTTTAACAATGGTCCCTTAATGCACACATAGCATTTGATTCAGATACTTCCTCCTCCTCTTTTAACCACCAAAGCTCTGGAATGGCAAGGGTGATCTTGACTTTACAACTGGAGTGACTAAGTTCTTTTCAGAGCTTGTATGATTCCAAAGAGCATAGTCCTCAACCTCACAGGCCTCTTGAAAGTCTTTTGTTTCACCGAGAGCCCACTAAAGTGGGCTTCCTCCTTCCAACAGGACTGCCTGCTCCAGGTCTGGCACACTGCTGGGGACTCACGTGACAAAGATGGGATAGATGAGGCTGGAGGCACTGATGGTGGAGGCAGAGGCCTGCCAGGTCCGCAGCAGTGGGTGGAAGTAGCCGCTGTGCAGTACGGACTGGTGATGCATGGTGTGGGCCGGGGGCACAGGGCAGTCTGCTAGACGGACTCTAGGCTCCGGGGTGTCTGCTGCCGACTCAGCTCTGTGGGGATCAACAGGAAGCATAAGACATGGCTGTGCCAGGGTAACATTCGGAGGACAGTTCTTTCAGGTTTCTGCCTCCCCTCTCTCCAGCCTCTGCATCTTATAGTATGGTTTTACCAACTGCTGCCCCTCCAGAACAAGGTAAGGCAGGGAATCCTGTAGAAGTTTCAGAGAAATTTCAACCTAATGATAGCAAACCAGTTTTCAGGGGCTGAGAGATAGCGCATGGTTAAGAGCATTGGCTGCTCTTCCAGAAGACCTGGGTTCAATTCCCCAGCACCCACATCTCAGTTCACAACTGTCTGTAACCCCAGTTCCAGAGGAACTGACACCTACACACAAACATGAACATAGACAAAACACTAATGCACATACAAAATTAAATAAAAAATTTCTAGCAACTTTAAATTGTATCTTAGTAAAAAATCTGAAGATTAGAAATAAAAGAGAAACAGAATGGATTCTTCCTTGTACATATTTTGAGAAGTACTGTTCATTGCAACATTTAAACTTCATTTAATCCATAAAAAACACCCATGATTAAGGCAGATTGAGAGGTTAACTTTTTTGTTGTTTTTTGTTTGTTTGTTTTTTCAGACTTGTTTCTGTAGCTTTGGAGCCTGTCCTGGAACTAACTAACTAGCTCTTGTAGACCAGCTGGCCTCAAATTCACAAAGATCCACCTGCTTCTGCCTCCTGAGTGCTGGGATTAAAGGCATACGCCACCACCCGGCTTTTTTTGTTTTGGGAACTTTTTTTTTTTTTTTTTTAATGTGGTGCCATGGATCAAACTCAGGGGCTTTGCATATGGGACGCAAGGATTCAATTACTAAGTTACAGCCCCAGCCTTAGTATTTTGTGTTGATTTTGAGGTAGGGTTTCACTATGTAATTCAGGCTGGCCTCAAACTTGATTGGCAAGTATTTTAGATAAGCAAAAAGAAAAATGCCCTGGAATTCTGCTGCCAGTGCAAAGTACTGTTAATGCCTTGGCACATGGACTGTGGCACGAGGCACAATGTGTTCCAAGATCAAGTACTACGTGCATGACTGGACAGAGGGACACACATGTACCTCCCCTGTACAGTGTCCTCTAAAGAGCTCTTACAAACAACTGATCCTCCTGCATCTAACCCTCAAGGCCTAGGAGATGTGATTCTCAGACTCTGTGAACACCAGGCAAGCGCTCCACCAGTCCAACTGCTTGTTTTGTGATGGTGCGCTCCTCTCTCCCTAGGCCAACACTCTGCACAGCCTCTCCCTCTCCCGCCGTGGCTTCCTTCTTGCCCACTTCACAATGCCTCTTATGGAACAGTTCTTTGTGGCACTGGCTTATCTTGCCCTAGTTAACAGAGCTTCTACAGGGCAGGGGCTGTGATGAATTCAGTCCTCCCTCCCACACCACGTTCTCCCCACACATGGACTCTAGCACAGAGCAAATATTTCATCACACCGAGCACAAGACAAAACTGCATGCCTCAAAAGTGATATACACCTGAGGGAAGCCTGGGTGCCACATTGTTTCAGGAGCACCTACTGTGTGCCAGCCCCCTCACACGTGCCTTTTCGAAGTCATGGCTAATCCTGGGTGGCAGGGCTCCTAAGTGCATTGCAGAGCCAGGCAGCCCAGGCCTACATGATCCTGGGACCCAAAGAGGAGGGCAGGAGAGCTTGTAGCAGACAGGGCTTGGGGTCTCTTCTGCAGGATGTGTGAATCTGGCGGGGGCAAGGTGAGTGAGGATTACTGTGGACTGATCTGAATACTCAGGGATCTAACAGGGGCCACGTGACAGAGGTGGAGGAATTCAGACAGGGACAAGCATTCTGAGCAGCAAATAGGGTACTGGCCTGAGCTCCGACCCAGGGGACAACGGAGACAGGGACGAAGCAGGAAGAGGGTAGTGGGATGAAGGGTTGGACAGCTAGTCCATTTTAGACGTTTCCTTTTGGAGATACCCTCTGGCTACTAAGCCGACAAGTTTAAGAAAAAAAAAAAGCCACAGAAAGTGGAGGCTGATAGGCTTGAATCCCTGGCTCTTCAAACAAAAGAAATGTCCAGGACCAGAGGGGTAGGTACTTACCTAAAATCCTGCAGCAAATTAGAAGAGGAAACAAGTCCAGAGAGCTGGAATCCTTCACTGCGCCCTGCTGTGTTTGTTTCTCAGTCCTCCCAACTAGCTCAGGGGCCCATCTTATCCCATCGTCCTCCTTGGTAGAGCTGGGGTTATCAGGAGCCATACAGGACCAATCCTATCACCACACCCTTGGGTGGGCCAGCCTCATCACAGGACACGGGAGGCCTCCTTAGAGATGTCACACTTAGCACACACGAGTCTATCTACCCACTTTGTGCAAAACTTGGCTCTTATCTGCCAGGAGTTAGCTGAGAGGTAAAATTATTTGCTCAAAACCATATAGCCAGTTAGTGATAAAACCAGAATTTGACCTTGTTCTGAGCTCCAGCTGGTCTCCTTCTACGGACACTGATCTACTGAGTCCAGCAGGTACAGAGCACTGAAGGTAGCCCTTTAGCTCAATGTTTAGTGATTAGGAAATAGAAGCTAGGAGAGGTTATGGAACTTGCTCAATGCCATTGTGGATTGGAGCCAGATTTTGAAACCAGGTGCATATTTGGATTCATCTGCCCAAGAACTATCTCTGTAGCAGGGCCTGGCTTCTGGAATCCACACCTGCATTCCCTGGCTCTCACTCATCGCCTGTAAAAGCTTAAGCAAGCAACTGATAGGCCGTCTGCCTGAAAGTAAAACTTGGAGGGCCACCTAGGAGCTGTGTGGTTCTCCAAATTCTACTTCAGGGTAGCTGGGAGCTATGGGGGGGGTGTGTGTGGGGAAGAGGTGTGGGCGGTGGGAGCTATGGGGGGGGGGAGGGAGAAGTGGAGAGGTGTGGGTGGTGGGAGCTATTGGAAGGAGGGAGGAGTGGAGGGGTGTGGGCGGTGGGAGCTATGGGGGGGAGGGAGGAGTGGAGAGGTGTGGGTGGTGGGAGCTATGGGGGGGAGGGAGAAGTGGAGAGGTGTGGGTGGTGGGAGCTACTGGAAGGAGGGAGGAGTGGAGGGGTGTGGGCGGTGGGAGCTATGGGGGGGAGGGAGGAGTGGAGAGGTGTGGGCGGTGGGAGCTATGGGGGGGGAGGGAGGAGTGGAGAGGTGTGGGCGGTGGGACACTACAGCAGCTTCTGTTTGTTTCTTGTGGGACTGAACTCCTGGACCCCTGTGCTCCATCACTGAGCTACATCCCCAGCCAGAACAGCACAACTTGGATTGTTTTAAATGTTGAAGATTTTATGCCTAGGAGTATTTTGCCTATGGGCATGTATATGCATCATGCACTGCGGTGATGGCAGAGTTCAGAAGGGTATAGACAGATTTTTCTTGAGGCTGCCAGCTCACAAAAAAGACACGGAGACTTGTTATTAATTATAAAAGCTTGGCCTACAGATTATTGTCTCACTAGCTCTGATAACATTGCTGCCACATGGCTAGCGGCTTTTACTCTGCGTATCTTGCACCTTCTGCGTCTGGCTGGTGACTCCGCCTCTTCTTCCCAGAGCTCTCTCTGTCCAGAAGTCCCTGTTATACCTCCGGCCTAGCTGTATAGCTTTCTATTAAACCAATCACACTGACACATCTTTACATAGTGCAATCAAACATCTCACAGAAGAAGGGGCTGTGGGATCCCCTGGAACTAGAATTACTTATGGTTGTTGAGCTACTATGTGGAGTCTAGGAACTGAACCCAGGTCCTCTGCAAGAGCAGCAAGAACTCACTGAGATTAAGAGTAATATCTTTTGCCCAGGTTTAGGTTTTTATTTTGGCTGTAACCAGAAAAAAACTGAGAGAGATGTCAGTATAAATTAAAAATAAAAAGAAGAGTCCTATGTAACCCTTCACACTTGGATAGGAGAAATGAAGGATGGAAGGAAGCTGGCTCACACAGTGGGCGAGGTTCCCGACTTCAGTCCAGTGCCCTCCACAGTCTGTCACAGCAGGTGTTTAATTTGAGTCCACTGGTGGAGAGGTGCCTGGAGTTGCTTCTGATTCATAGAAGCAATTCTAGATCAAACTTTTCCTGAGATATCCTTCAGAGTCTGGAAGATTCTCAAACAAGGGTAGGGCACTTTCCCCAAACTCAGGGAGTTTGCAAACTTCAGCTTCAATCCCATGCACTAACAGGAATACAGGACTATAGGGACCCAGCTCACCTTCTCCCTCATTTAAAATAGCCTCCCTCTGCTAGCAAGCTGCACGAAGTGGACAGAAAGAACCGTTTCTGGGTCAAACAGCCCAGAGTTGACTCTAACTTTGGGCAAGGTCTTTTAGATGCCCCTTTTTAAAATCTAAAATGTGTTGATATTATCAAGTCGAGCAGATAGCGATGAGGTATGACACCAGCAGCACAGTAAGCTAGGGTGAGCACACAGTACTGTGTGACCCTGCACTGCAACCAAGTAAGGATATACATTCCAGCCAGTCCTGAGGAGAGAATGGGGCCTCCAGCAGCATGTGCTGGATAAGAAGGAAGAGAGTCAAGGGAGCTTCATGGAGACACTGCAAGACAGCTGTTTTCAAAGACCATAGAGGTTTCACCTTCCTTAGGAGGCGATGTCCCCTAACCTTGGAGTGAGACTGCCACCAGGTGTGGCTGAGAAAGAGCTTCAGGGCCTGGGCTCCCAGGCTGTGCCCCATGGAGGATTCCAGAGGCTGTGCTCTTGGCATAGATAGAGGTGAGCTAGTGCTAGTTCTGGCAGGCTCTGCAAGGGTTGGGGAATAGACACCTCAGGAGGGCCAGCTAGGTGGAAGGTCCAAAGCTGGGAAATCTGAAGCATTCTCAAAACGGCCCAGAAAAGGCAGCTATGGGCAGTCGGACCTGAATAGCTGCCACCTGCCACAGTATTAGGAGGGATCAGACAAAGAACTAGACCTTGTCTAGTCTGCTGCTTAATCTCCCCTGCCAGGGTTTAGCCATTTCACACCTGGAGTTGCCTTTCCCAGACTGCTATAAAATTCTGGCTGGGAGCTTCCACATCCAACAATGGTAAAACTGAACTCTGAGGAGGACAGAAGAATAGAGCTCATACAGCAGGTCAGCTGGAAATCTGGCCTAAAATTCAGGAGTCCAGCAGCCCTCAATTCTCACTATGGCCTTTGACACTAAAAGGACAGAGTTCATACATGATATTCCCAGCAGAGATGAGCCGACTGGGAGGGAAGAGGTTATGATCTAGACCTGACCACTGCTGGTAGCTGGAGAGTTAAGTGGGATTTAAAAGGCTTGGGGGCAAACTCTTGTTTTCATATGCTTGACCTCTTGTCTTTTCACGTAGTAAACTGGGGCTTCAACTGACCTCAATGGGTTGTTGTACTGACTGAATGAGCAGATTGTTTCCCCCCCAGTTCTCCAGCCTGTCAGACACCTCGCGCTCCGTGAGTACCCCCAGCGGCCTCGGAGAAGGGAGGCGGGTGGAGCCCACTTTTGAATCCCCAAGCCTGGGCGCAGCAAGACCGTGTAGCGGTAAGATTCCGCCCACTCTAGAGGGTGCACCAGGATTGCCTCCGCCGCAGTGCCAGAGCGTCAGAAGCACAGTGCCATCCGGGATGCCCACCCAAACCACCACTTGCCAGAGGACGGGCCCGCTCACCTACCACGGACACCGCTCCCCCGCCGCCGTTCCACTCCTTACTCGGGCCTCTCCCGCTCTCTAAGAGAGCAAGTCCACGCGGGGGCGGGGCGACTCACCCGGAAGCGGCTCTCTACTGCCCGCCCCCACGGGCGTGCAGCCTACGCTCCCTTCAGGGCAGCCTCTGATCGCTGGCCTGGCCCACGCTCCGAGGGCTGGAATCTTGGCCAATCAGGAGTCTTCGGGGAGCCCGCGAGCCCGCCTACCCCGCCACTCCGGTCCACACCCCCTCCCACCTCTCGGGCCGCACTTGAGTGGGGGAAGGTCATAGCCTCTCTGGGCGGACCCTGGCTTGCCAGTCCGAACTCTCTGAAGAGTTCTCTAGGTTTCTTCTTACCCTCAGGTAAAAAACTGGCTGTTGCTCATTTTTTTAAAAAAAAACAATGTGGATGTTCAGGACGATAAAACACGTAATGCCTAACACAGCGGGTAAGTCCATTTTGGCGGATTGTGCACTTTAAAGTTGTTGCATTCAGCAGCAGACAGCCCATTTCAGACAAATTTATTACAGGGTAATTAATTATCCAGCCCTTGATCTGTCATGGGTTAAAAGATATAGACATTGAAAATAAAGAAAAGTAACCACATGTGACAGGGGTATCATGTTTATCTAAAATGTATACATTAAAATCTGACCAAGGAAGCAGACTGGTGGTCAACCCCAGCACCAGGAAGTAGAGACAGGTGGATCTCTGAATATGAGGTCAACTTGGTCTACAAACTGAGTTCCGGGCCAGCCAAGGCTATTACATAGTGATAAGCTGTCTCAACATTAAAAAACAAAACAAAACAAAAAAACAGACAACACGATTAATTTAAAAATTTAGCCAGGCAGTGGTGATGCAGAAATCCCAGCACTCCCAGGCAGGGGCAGGTGGATCTCTGTCAATTCAAGGCCAGCCTGGTCTACAAAGTGAGTTCCAGGACAGTTAGAGGTGTTACACACAGAAACCCTTCTCGAAAAACAAATTAAAAATCAAAATCAAACAAACAAAAACAACAAAAAGTTAAAGTTCTGTGGACGCTCAGAGCATGGAGTCAAGGGTTATGAGGCTAGGAACAAAGACTTGGGGCCGGTGGTGAGGCCGAGTGGAGGGAGGCGGGGGCAGTGAGAGGGGTGGAAATGAGCACCTGTGCAATGCTGTAAATGTGCTTAGTGCCAACAAATCTTCCTTTCAAAATGGTTAATTTTATCATCTGGGAATCTTATTTTGGATTTTAAAAATTCACTAGAAAATTTGGACGTAAAGGTGAGAAGTCGGATGAAGAACTGCACTCCTTGTAATTCTTCGGTATCTGAAATTATCCCAACTGAAGAGTCCAGGAATAAGAAATTAAAAATGTAGATTCCAAAAATAAGAATGTAGAAATAAAGAAATATAAAGTTATAAGTCTAGGAGAATGAGAACATACTATCAGCAGCTTTCTCAGCAGATCAAGGATCATTCATTCACAGTAAGCTATTTTCTCAGATGCTTGGGAAGCGTAGGTCATTTTACAACTGGCTGTTTTATTTACAAGGCCAGAGCTTCTCCCTACAAATTGAGAGTAGTGTCCTGGCCATCCTTAATAAACGACAGATGTGAACTGAGTTAACCTTTAGGAGACAGAGATATGTGCCCTCTGGGTTAGACACTGTCTCCGTTATGGAAAACTGGCACCACCATAGGAGAGGAGTAAGACTCCAGTTTACACCTGGAGGTACCAGGAGACAGTGGACAAATACAATGGTTTAATTGATGAGCTCTGATAATGGAGGTTGTAAAGTATGGCAGTTAGTATCTGAGTTTTACCTTGAGATAGTGTGAAAAGCTTTCCCCTATCTTCTAAGTTCTCAGCCTAAGAGTCAGTTAATCCAAATTTATTAACCTTCTAGTATTACTAGCAGTCCCTTTCTGACTAATTGCTAAAGATATCTGTTTTCTCGCAATTAGTGACCTTCGTTGCAATCTCCTCTGAAACATATTTCATGATGGCTGCCTAGTTAGCCATTGACATTAGCATTCACTCCCCTCTTTAGGGTCTCTGCTGACCAACCCAAGGGTCAGGGCAAGGTTGTAAAACTTCCTTTACCCAGACCTAATGCTTGGTGCCCCTACTATAAAAAGTGGGTTCAGAAACCTGCCTTTTGCCACAGCCTAACAAACACCATCTCTGACTGTGGTCTCAGCTAGCTGATAAGCTTCTGTGCCCCGCGGTGTTTTATTTTTATTTTTTATTTTTGAGTTTGCTTCTAGTTTTCCTAGGATCTGGTTTCTGGAATAAAGTTTGCTTCTGGTTTATTAGACTTGGTGGTGTTCTTATCTTTGCGTGACCCCCCCCCCCCCCAGACCCAACACCAACCATTTACAAAGTTTACTAAAATAAAAACAGAAGGAAGGCTAAAGGCCACTGGATCATGATCTCAGTAATTTCTTGTAAAAGAGCTTCAACTTCCTATAAGATAGGGGGCTAGCACACAAAAAGATTTTTTAAGTGTTTTTTATGTGTGAATGTTTTGCCTGCATGCATGGCTATGTACCACCTGCCTGCAGTGACAGAAGGTCAGAAAGTGGCATGGGATTCCCTTAAACTGTCGCTACAGACATTTTCAGCTGCCACGTGGATCCTGGGAACTTGACCCTGGTCCTCTAGAAGAGCGTTATTGCTGAGCCATCTCTTCAGACCCTCAAAGTAGTTTTGAATGAATTAGAACAAGAACTCTTCCACTGCCTAGATTAATGCTAGTGTCTGTGCATGAAGCACTCTGCTTAGAGATGAGAAACTTACCTTGGTCTGCTATTGTGTGCTATTGGCACAGAACGGCCTTATGGTGGTGACTAGATGGTAGGGTGAGTCCCTTACTTAGGCCTTGAATAACAGCTTTAACTATGGACTTGATCTCACAAAGTAATGTTCTAGGAAGATCTACTTGCTAAGTAGTATACATGGGATACTGAGCTCAAAGGAAGTCACAGGAGTCCAAATGGGACTCGAAGGCTAAGTCTAGCATGGTGCTCTTGGGAATGAAGAAAGGATATTAAATGACCATTGGGTTCTTTGTGAAATTTGATTTATAAAGTTGACTTAAGAACAATATAGAGTTGTGGTTAAGACCTAACAGAGGTAACAGAAATGCTACTTGATAGGAGTTAAGAATTAATACCTGGCTAGGTGGTGGTGGATCAAGCCTTTAATCCCAGCACTGGCACAGAGGCACTGGAGCACAGAGGCAAAGTTCTGTGAGTTCAAGGCCTGCCTGGCCTGGTCTACAGAGCCACCAGAGTTTGGAACAGTCAAGGCAAACAAGCAAACAAACAAACAAAAATACCTGAAAGCACTTAGAAAAATGCTAGACACATAAAGAGCTTAAGACGTAGGAGCTAGTGACATGTACAGAGTAACCAAGAGACTCTCGGAAAATGTTGGCTGTGGTCATGCTCACTCATCTGCTGGTGATCCAGGGGTACAGGGTTCTAGGGTTCTGTGCTTCTTTGTCTATGTGTGTGTGCGCGCTCGTGTGCGAGAGAGAGAGAGAGAGAGAGAGAGAGAGAGAGAGAGAGATGGGTCCTTTCCAAAAGCACACTGTATGAATCATCATTTTAAACAAAAATGTTCTTTATTTGTATAAAGCATTAAAATCGTCTCAGCAATCCCAGTCACTTTCAATAGTCTTCACTGTAACCACTCACCCAGCTCACAGTATCCAGCTATGTTACATTACTTGTCAACCTCAAGTTCTCAGCTAAGACAAAAAAGTGCTTGGAGCACTGAATAGGGAGAAAGGAAAGGCCAGCAAACACTTCCAAAGCCACAGCGGCGGTGGCTCTGGTGTTAGATTCCCGAGCACCATCACATGTGGCATTTCAGGGAGGAGGACTAAGGAATCTGAGGAACTTGCACTTTGGGATATTATATAGGTTATTAAAGTTCTTAGACTGGAAGATGAAATAAGTAAGAGGAGGAGAAAGTGGGGCTGGGAAACAGAGGTAGGAGAGAGATGTAAGGCTTCCAGAAAGACCTAGAGGAAATAAATTCTGGAACTTGTCAAGAGTTCAGGGAATGAAAAGCAGCAGCCGCAGGCCAGGGAGATGAGCTAATGAAGAGAGAACCTGTAGCACTAAATCTTACAGTGCAGGCACTGAGTTACTGCCAAAGATTAAGCCACCTGTTTTTAAGAATTGGCACCATTTTTTTTTGACAGATTACAATCGACATTAAGAATTTAAGAATGTATGTGCAGCCACCGCAGCAGACTGAACACCTACAGTCAATAAAGAAGGGCTACAAGCTAATTAACTCTAGACAACAAAAGTAACAAGTAATGCTATAATCCAGTGACGAGATTACCTTATTCTCCTACAGTTTTTTAGTCATTTCTTAAAGAGCAACCATTCTGACCCACTGCCAACACTGTACAATCAAACAGGGTGACTGTGCTCAAAGCCCCGTTTCTCCCCTGAGCCTTTAGGGCCTCTGTGAACCGGAACACAGCAGGCAACACGGAAGTTATTACTTTTTTGGAGGGGCAGGGAAATGGGATCAAAAACTAGCCAGTCACATACTTAAGTAAACAAACGATATCAAGCTATTTAGTCATTCAGAATCCCTTATCCTAGAAAGTCACAACCTCCAGACTGACTCAGCAAAACAGGTTTCTGTTATTCAGGTTCTCTGAGTGTTGGAAGAGCTGATTTTGATCTTTCTGGTCAGTTTTTATTTTGATCTCAGGCACCTGTGCTGAAGATGGCTCTGCCCTGCAGGGAAAGGCTTCAGATGAAAACATTGCAGGTGGTCACTTTCATGGCGCCACAGTCTGCCCACTCTCCACTCAGTTGTCTACTTCCTCCTCTTCATTCTGTTCTTCCTCGTCCAATCTTTCTTCATCTTCATCGTCTTCCTCCCTGCTCTTGTCCTGCTCTTCGGAATCTGTTTTTTTGTCTTTGTCCTTCTTCTTTTGCTCGGAAGCTTCCTTCTTGCCTTTCTGTTCCCGCCTGTATGCTGCAAGGAAGCAGGAGATTATTGCAAATCAAGGAAGGCATAGAAAGAATAACCAGGCCCGTATCACATATCTCAGATGGTACCAACTAAACAGAGGAGTCGTGACCAGTGCCAGATTACTGCAATCAAGGTCATCAGGGAACAAAGGATGATAATCTTTCATGTGGTTTAAGAAACCCAAGAGCGGATGGATACCTTCTAGAGCTTCTTTCAATGGTGTAACGAACCGCTGGAACTCCATCTCTTCCATGGCTGACAGCACATCACTGGCATTGAGAGTCTTGCGCTTCCCTTTCATTGCGAAGTTGTTCGCACTGAAGAAAAAAGCAAAGCCCCTTCAGAAGCTGTCAGAGTGGGTGGGAACAAGAGACACCAAGAGGTGGGACGGGAAAATCCGTATTTATCTTAGATTCAAGACTCAGTTCATTCCTTCCCCTTACGAAGAGCTACGGCAACCTTGTTTAACCTGCTTCAAAATTTGTGAGAACCGGAGGAGTGCTCGCTCTACTAAAGTAGGGGACAATTACTGGGGCCACGAAGCCGGGGACGAGATTCCGCAGAGCCTTCCTTCTGCTTCTGCTCGACTCACCAGGATGTGGCATACAGAACGAAGACGCTGGCGGCACGGGAGATGGCGCTCCGGGCCTCCTTGGAGATGTTGACGCCGTCCGGGAGCTGCGAGAGTGGAGATAAACACACACGCGGATCTTGTTAACCTCCTGCTCGCTCGTCCGCCCTCGACCCATTCGCCAGCCCGAGCAGCTCACCGCTTCCTTGATGATCCTAGTAATGACGGCGTTGGGCAGATTTAGGTCCTCGGGCCTCTCCGCCATTGCCAGCTGGAGCCCGAGCCTCCTCCGCCTCAGGCCTTCTCTTCAGACAGTTCTGGTGTCTGGACTTCCCGCGTTGGTAAGATCTGACCCTCGGAGGCTTCCGTCCCACCCCACGTTGCCAGTGTCCCACAGTGCTTTGCGCACCACAGCCTCCCTTCTTCACCAGCCCCGCCTGAAGTCGGCGGTGTAGCCAAGCTTTCCATGTCGCAATGGCTTCGGTTCACTGAGGTTCCCGCTAGCTTTGACCGTATCCTTGACGTTCCTCTTTAAGCTCGTTTCTTTGCCACGCACTGTCACTATCACTGGAGCTTTCGTACCAAACTAAATTTGTCTTTCTGAGTTTTCCGTCTATTCTCCCATTGTGCCTTGCGCCGCTGCTAGGCAACGGAGCGGCATGGTGCCTAGCGTGGAAGGGGGAAGGCCAGACAGCCTGTGGGGCGTACTCGGACGGGCAAGATGGGCGGGGCCTCTCTCGGAGAGGTGGGCGGGGCCCCGGGAGAGAGGGCGGAGCCTCTCTGGGAGAGGTGGGCGGAACCAAAGCCTAGCAGCGTTTTCCCTGTCTCCGCTTTGTCCCTAGAACAGAGTGTTTTGGAATCTCCTTTTATCCCTCGGAATCGCTGACCACTGACACTTTTTTATTTTTTATTTTTTGGCTCGGAACTCAGTGGAGATTTTCTTTCAATTTTACTACACCGATGTCCATCTTTAATCTTATTTCTCTTTAATCTTTGTGATACTCGTATTAAGGATAAATGTTATCTAAAACTTTTTTTTTTAATGCCAACTATTTTATTAGAACAGCTATAAGGCTGGCGATATCGAGAGACGCCTGATGAGACTCCGGGGTTCAGTTTGGACTGGTCCGGTAGGGAAAGGGCGAGAAGCATCTGATTGTAAGAATAATGCATCATATTCTCATTCTCATTCAAAAGCCCGTGTTAAAGTTGTATTTCTTAATTCATTAAGTGATTCAGCGTACATATTCCCCATCAAAAATTTTACGAGGTTTTATATTTACAATGACGTTTTAAGTTATAAAATTTTTGTATTAATGCCGGGCGGTGGTGGCACACGTCTTGAATCCCAGTACTCGGGAGGCAGAGGCAGGCGGATCTCTGTGAGTTCGAGACCAGCCTGGTCTACAAGAGCTAGTACCAGGACAGGCTTCAAAGCTACAGAGAAACCCTGTCTTAAAAAAAAAATTGTATTAAGTACAGGAAAAATTCTTACTAAGAACTAATGTTGGTTTCTCTCGCTCTCTTTCTCTCTCTTTCTTGTTGCTTTCTTTCTTTGTTTCTTTCTTTTCTTAAAACATGGTCCAAGACTTGTTTTCCCACTTTTCATGAAGACATAATTACAAAGAAATATTTTCCAGCACTTGGGAGGCAGAGGCAGGTGAATCTCTGTGAGTTTGAGACCAGCCTGGTCTACAAGAGCTAGTTCTAGGTCAGTTAGGACTGTTAACACAGGGAAACCCTGTCTTGAAAAAAAAAATTGCAAAAACAAAAAAATTAAAAAAAAATATTTTCCTATTGGGAGAAAAAGAAACCCACAACAAGGTAAAGAGGATGTGAATGGGACTGCTCTGCTCTTTGAAGAGGCCTGCTTTAAAGACTTCAGCAGCCTTAGTTCCAGCCACTATTTAGCTGATCTAGAAGAGAAGCCAGAAATCTGCACATAATGAACCATTTCAGCTTCAAGATACTGGCTCAAAATGCCTGCCAAGCTAAATAAGTCATAGGCCAGGTGCAACTCAGTCCAATAGTTTCCTATTTCTGATTTAAATTACAAGCTGTTTAGAACAGAGAGTTTGTTTATTGCTGTTCTCCATGCCTCAAACAGGTTCTCTCACATATTTGGTAGTCAATAAATATGTTGAATAGAAGAAGAAATGGACAGTATCCTTAAAAAGTGAATAAGGGGACGACTGATATGGCTTAGAGGTTAAAGAAACTTTGTACCAAGGCTGAGGACCTGAGCAGTCTCAGGACTCATGAAAGAATGGGCTCCTGCTTGCATGTGCACTGTAGCACTTGAACCCACAAATAGATGAATAAAATGCAATTATATGTTAAAAGGAATAAGGTAATTGTAGAAACTACATGAACTTTTTAAAAAGGGGATTGATAATACTTATTTTTAGTATAATTTCATTTGTGTGTACGTTTAATGTAATGTCCTTAAATGTGTGTTAGTATGAATATTCCTGTGCCATGCTGGTATGGAGTTCAGAGGACTACCTTAGTGTTGGTCTTGCCTTTTACCTTAAGACACCATCATATGCCAGGCTAGTTAGCCCATAAGCTTCTCAGGAGTCTCAAACATCTGCTTTCTATTTTATAGTAGGAGCAGTGGGATTACAGATGTGCACTGAGCCTTACTTCATATGGACTTGGGGGTTGCCCTCTAAGTGCTCTGCTATGGAGTCATCTCCCTAGCCTGATGATATTTATTGAGTGCTTGCTATATGGTCATATTTAGGAATTTGTATCTTATTCGATGCTTTTACAATTTTTGCTTTTGTTTGTTTGTTTTTTTTCGAGACAGGATTTCTCTGTGTGTCTCTGGTTGTCCTGGAACTTACTCTGTAGTTCATGCTGGCCTTGAACTCACAGAGATCCACCTACCTCTGCTTCCCCAGCGCTGGGACTAAAGGTGTGGGCCACCATACCCAGAAATGTTTCTATAGTTTTTGCAAAAATAATTAAAAAATTTTTGAGGGGCTGGAGAAATGGCTCAGTGGTTAAGAGCACTGACTGCTCTTCCGGAGGATCCGGGTTCAATTCCCAGCACCCACATGGCAGCTCACAACTGTCTGAAAATCCAGTTCCAGGGGATCCGACACCTTCACACCAATGCACATAAAATAAAGATAAATAAATCATAAAAAAACTAAAATTAAAAAAAAATTTTGAGATCATAATATAATTATATCATTTTCCCTTCCCTCTCCCCTCTCCAAACCTCCCATGTAGCCCTGTTCTCTTTTAAATTCATGACCTTTTTTCTTTGTTTTATCTATATACATATATGTATATGTATGCTCCTACAATGTAAAAAATTTATTTTATTTTTTGAGATCATAATATAATTACATTTTCCCCTTCCTTTTCCTCCCTCCATACTCTTTCATCATGTAAGCCCCCTTCTCTTTTTCAAATTCATGACCTCTTTTTCTTTGTTGTTACATATGTGTGTGTGTGAGACACACAGACACACACACTTAATATATATATATAAAATATATTAATATAATACACATATAAATATATAGATATAAATATATAACACACATAAATATATATGAGATCTGGATTGCATGGCTGTCTAATATATAAAAATAATAACACCTAAGTGGGTGACTGCTAATTCTCCAGAGGGCTAAAATACTGCAAGATTGGATTTTGTCTTAAACCATTTATAGCTATGAACTTGCCAAATGAGGATCAGTGGGACGAAACCAACTGCAGCTCAGCAGTTTGTCAGCATCCACAATGCTGGGCATCTCTCCGACGGATTGAGAGGGGCCATCCTAGGATCCTGGACTCGCCCAGCAAATCTTCCCGGGAGATTGATGGTGCGTTGACTAGCCTTTGTTGTTTTCTTCACAAAGTCCTTACACTATTTCTGTTTGCTTTCCTTTCTCCAGGCAGTAGGTTACGTCTTTTGTTCTGGTCTGCTTTCTTAGATAAACTCCCGACACTCACCATTGTCAATATCACGGATGCCTACCTGTGGACCAAGAAGAGGGTGGCTCTACGACAGTCACCAGAATTTCCCTTCCCTAAGGAGCGGGAGCGGTCTCTGTTGAAACCAGCCTCCAGGCGCCACAGCAGGTGAGTGTTTCTCTTATCCACCCAGAGGACTCTGGGAATGATGGGGTTAAATTACTAAGGGCTGGAGATGTAGCTCAGTAATAAAACTCAAGGCTTTGAGTTTGATCCCCAGTGTTACCAGAAACAAAATAGCAAAATGGAACATACCCAAACTTAAGTAAGTAGAAAACAAGGAAGGAGAGCCCAAACAAAACAGTCCCATGTGTGTTCCAGGAGCAGGGTAGTTCCAGGCTGTATTGATTTGCCCATGTCAATACTATTACCTGAATGGTAGGACTAACAAAATTCATTGTCACAGAATTCTGAGGGCAAGACATCCGAGATCAAGGAGTTAGTTATTTTTTTTCCCTAGGTCCCTCCCCTAGGAGATGACATCTTGTCCTTCAGTCTTCTTTGTGTGTCTTAACCCTATTCTCATTTTATAAACATATTAGTCCTACTGGATAAGGACCCTTCCACAGGACCTCATCTTATTTTAGTTATCTCTTTAAAGAGTTCTGTCTGTAAATATAGTCACACTCTGAAGTGCTGGGCCTAGGAACTCAGCAAATGAATTCTAGGTGTTGGGGCACAACTTAGCTGCTAATGGGGCAATCGTTTTGCTCCTGACATGTCGCATGTCTGGTGCCGTAGAGAGCTCCTCACTAGCCAGCTCCTGTTTCACCTGTTCATTCTGTGTTCTTGCTGTCTGCCTCAGCCCCTGTCCTAGACTGTTCCTGCATGAACTTGAGTGTGGGCGTCTGCTCTCCTGCCTCTTCTCTGACACTTTCACATTATGACCACAGATTAATGCTTTGCCCATCTCCTCACTCAACTCCTTCCTTCAAATCTGGTCATTCTAGAGTTGTAGCCTCTGTATTGCTGGACTCCTCTCTACTCATGGTCCTCACTCTCTGATGTCAGCCTGGCTTTTCTGATGGTGACTTCTGTTTCTAGCACTTTGACCATGCAGTCTTCCCAGCCTTAGAGTCCATTCCCTCTGATCTGCTTCATGGAATTCCTGAAGTGGCTTATACTGTCACAGGAGGTCCTGCATTCCTGACGGACCTCTTCTTATGTGTCTTTCTTCCTTGTTTAGTAGGTTCCAGCCATATTGTCCTTTCTGCCTGTCACATACTCCACACTTCCCACCCCACAGCTTATCACCTACAGTTTGCTTCACTTTGGTGAGATAGCTATTCCTAGGGTCTACGCTCTTTATCATTGAGCTTCATTCCTGGCTCTGCTCTCTGCAGGCCAGTACTACCTCTCCTGCAGCCCGACAACCTAAAATACATCCATACATTGCCAGATGTCCTTTTGGGGGCAGAGTTGCCTGTTTGAGGAAATCGCCCTAGATCCTCCTACAGCTAGCGCTTCCTTGTCATCTAGTCTGAATGTAAGAATTGCTTTTTCAAAGAGGTGAGCACCTTTTTAAAATTTCCCATGAACATAAATGGCCATCATTTGATTTGGCCTCTTTTGCCTCACATACTGCTCTGAGAAGCCTTTTTATTGATTTGCTTGCCTTGTGCCACAAAACACAGCTCTCACTTTAAAGGGAATGCAAGCTAGTTGTGGTGGAACACTTAATCCCAGCACTCAGGAGGCAAGAAGCAGATCTCTGTGAGTTTGAAGCCAGCCTGGACTACAGAGGGAGTTCCAGGACAGCTAGGGCTACACAGAGAAATCCTGTCTCAAATAACAACAACAAAAAGGAACATAAGATTGTTCATTCTTGAGTCAAATATGAGTGACCATGGCTTGAAACACAGAGGTTACAACACAGCAGGGGAGATCTCTGTTACAGTCTCAGGTGCTACAGGGTGACATATTCTTCACAATCCCAGTCATTCCTTCAGCAGATTTATAGACTTTTAAATATAGATATTACTTTGGGGACATCAGCCCACAGTCTCTCTTCATTAAAATGTCAGTGTTGGGGGCTGGAGAGATGACTTAATGGTTAAGAGCACTGGCTGCCCTTCCAGGGGGCCCAGGATAGATTCCTCGCCAGAATTCTATTCCTTCCTGTGTCTCCAACAGTACATGACATGGAGTGGAGGCTCAGGCTTCTGATGAATAAACAAATATGGCCTGATCCACTGTCAAGGTTGAGTTTTACCTCTTACCATTCTCCCTGAGTACTGATTCTTCCCAATTCTTCCAGCAGTGATTGTTCCTGCCATGTTTATGGATGTGCTCCAGCCCTCTGTCCTCTTGGCACCCCTGGATTTAAGCAGGCGTCACAGCATCATGTGTGTAGTCAAATGCAGCTGACAGATGTGTTTCCAGTGGGGCTCATCGGGCTGCTGCTGGGGATATGACACGATTTTGTTTATCTCATCCTAGCTGGGGAGGCAAAGACACCAGAAGCCAGGGTGTCCAGTGTGCTGTCCTGAAAGGACTGCTGCCTACTGCTATGGAAGCCCAGGAAAGACTTTCCATCCTAGGGCACTGTTATCTGCACAGAGAGCATTGATCCCCAGCCCTGCAGTTAGAGCAGCATATTGAAGGGGAGGCTTGTATGTAGGAAGCTGGCAGGGAGAAAATCTAAACTGCAGGACTAACGCATGCAGGGGCCTACGAGGGGGAGGACATTCTTTGAGAGTTTGGAACATAGAGTAGGAATGATGTGGGCTCAGAGTTAAGGCTGAGCTGTAGAAAATGCCACTGGGAATTAAGGTCTCTATCACATGAGACCTCATAAATCAGGATGAGCGGAATCTTTGCTTGCATACTTCCATATTACTCTTTCATTCATAAACTTAAGGTGTCTTAAAAAATAAGGAACAAATGATATGAAAACATTACAGGTTGTCTCTCTTTTGTGTGCCTGTGTGTGTGTGTGTGTGTGTGGTGTTTTTTAAGACAGGGCCTTACTATGCTGCCCTGGCTAGCCTTGAATCACAGAGATATATCTGTTTCTGCCTCCCAGCTACTAATATGAAAGGCATGGAACTCTGTAGCCAACCTTAATAAACCTAAAGAAATTATATTTGCTTGGTGTGTGTGTGTGTATGTGTGTGTACAAGCATGTGTGGAGGACACTGCATGTGTGGAGGACACTGCATGTGTGGAGGACACTGCATGTGTGGAGGACACTGCATGTGTGGAGGACACTGCATGTGTGGAGGACCAGGGACCAAGGTCAGGTTGCCAGGCTGCACAGCAAGTGCTTCTATCCTTGAGCCGTCGCGCTGGCTCTGACTGTTTCTCTATGGTTAGCAGGAGTCTGGTGAGCTATCTAGTTGTAAAGTGCAGTCTTCAATATCTGTATAGGAGTACCTGTGTTTATTTGATTAATAGTAAATCTTGGGCCTTCATAGTAAGTGGATGGGTTTTATTCAGAGCATAAACTTTGCTATTCCATTGACTTTTTCTTTCTTTTAAGATTGATTTTATGTATGAGTTATGTCTGTATGTACACTTAAGCCAGAAGGTGTTATCAGATCCTACTAGAGATGGTTGTGAGCCACCATGTGGTTGCTTGGAATTGAATTTATGACCTCTGAAAGATCAGCCAGTGCTATTAACTGCTGAGCCATCTTTCCAGCCCCAGCTTTATTTTATTTTATTTTATTTTATTTATTTTTTTCACTCTGTTTCATGCTTGGAACTCATGTCTTCCAGGTCTCAGAAGGCTTTCCGTGACAAAGGTGTAACCAGTTGCTCTAGACCTCCTAAAGTAAGTCACAGTTTGTTCCTCAACATTTTTTTTCTTTATTAGCAGGAATATTTTGCCCTTGACATTGTTCTTTCTTAAAAATGTTTATTCTCTGTGTATGGTTGTATGTGTATGTCCCTGTATTTCTGTGTACCACATATATGCCCTGTGCCTTCCAAAGCCAGAAGAAGGCATTTGGATCCCCTGGAGCTGGAGTTACAGGTGGTTGTAAGCCACCAACTGGGTGCTAGGAACTGGACCTGGGTCTTATTCTCTGAGTCATCTCTCCAGCCCCAGCATCATGGAATGAGGAGGATAAGAACTGTCTTTAGCGTATGTTAGGCGCTTTGCTAACAGCTCCACACACTACATTGCCTTTAGAAACCTCAGACGCATGGGAGTGATCTGTGAATATTTGGAATAGGTGAGGATTTCTCTCTGTCCTTATATAGAACATTTTCAGCTTTTAAGTAAACATTCTTATTTCATATCCAGATAACTTAGGTTGCCGAAATGTCATGCTTAAAATGGGCCTTAAGGTCATCTAGTCTGATGCCTCCAACTTTAAAAATTGTGATCGATGATTAGACATGGATTTTATATACATGTATGAAAATGTTATAATGAAACCAACTAAAAATAATGTTAGATTTTGCAGTCAAAAAGAGCATCAGATAATCTTTACCTTCCCATAGGGTGAATATTCTGATATTTCCTGTCTTGTTCTCTCTCTTTTTCTCTCTCCTTGCTCCTCTCTCTCTCTTTTCTTTTTCTTTTTTCTTTTTTTGAGACAGAGTCTCATTATGTAGCTCAAGATGGCTTGAAACTTGTTATGTATATTAAGCTGGCCTGGAACTCACAGAGATACCCTTGCCTCTACCTCCCCAAGACAGTCAGTTCTGAGCAGAAGGCAAGACTTAAACAGAATGTGGACTAGATGATTCATAGGATTTCCTTGAACCCTAGTGCTGTGTGATCGATCTCAGGGGTGGGAGAAATTAACATGCTAACTTATATGGATTTCTGTAATTATAGACAGGGTTAAACTAACCTTGATTACCTGTACTCAGTATGCCCCTGGTTCCAAAATGTGGACGGCCTTACCTACAGGGAATCCCAGTCTTTGCATTGGAGTGGCAGAATAAATAAAGTCCCTGTAGGGTTGCCTCCAGATGGCTTCATATGAAATGGGTTTTTCTAAATTCTACACTAATGTCATGCAGAAGCAGGGAATGTTATTGTTTAAAACTTCTACCCTTTGAGAAGTACTTGTATTGATATCAGATGTAGGAGCTTTTTTTAAAAAAATAATTTTCTGAATCATCAAATGTTTTGGTGAATATAACAATATAGCATTTGGTCTGTGGCCCCAACCTCCTGCTGGTGCTCAATCCCAGACCATTGCACACCCTTTCCTAGCTTTCAGTGTTGAATTTGAACGAGGTGAAACTTCCTTTCTCCGAAGATGTCAGAAACATGGTGGTAACCTGGGTTCCAGAAGAAATGGAGAAAAACATTAGGTGAGCATCTTGTCTAAAACTTTGAGGCCTTAGTACCCATACTCTTTAAGTTCCCTGTGATCTTCTGCAGATCCCTTTTTGATCTCCTTGTTAGCTACCTCATTTTAAACAGCTGCAGGCCAAACATAGAAGGTGGCCCAGGCTTGCTTTGCCTCTTATTACACTGGAGTTCTGCTATAATGTTACTGTGAGATGCCTGCTGTGGGAATTCTCTACTTCAAATTCTACATTGAAGTAAAGTAAGACATAAGACAAAGTCCAGTTTATTCATATTTAGTTTTTGTATTTGTACATGCATGCACGTGTGTACCACGGCACAGGTGCAGCAGTTAGAAGACAGCTTGCTGAAGCAGCTGAGCTTGGGGGCGTGACTTTCCGCTTTTTTTTTTTAAAATTATTAATTGGGGGAGGGAGCATGTCAAGATACTCTTGGAGAAATCAGAGAATGTCTTACAAAAATCAGAGACTATTTTGCAGTAGTTGGGTCTCTCCTTCCCTTTCACCATCTGAGTTCTAGGGATCAAACTCAGGTCATCAGTCTTGGTGACAGGTGTCTTTACCTGCTGAACCATCTCTGTCTGCTGAGCCATCTTGCTGTCCATTCTCCCGAAGCTAAATTCATTTGTGAGGTTTAAGAAATAAGTGCTGGGCCCATGAGATGACTTAGCAGGTAAGGACACTCTCCACCAAGCCTGATGACCTGAGCTTGATCCCTGGAACCCACATGGGTAGAAGGACACTGACTCCTAGCAGCTGTCCTCTGATACCCACAAGAGCACTGTGGCATGTGTAGCCCCAAACTCCGAAATAAGTACATGTTAAAACAAACAAACAAACAAACAAACAAACAAACAAAACCCCTTTCACTAAAAAGAAATACATTTAGGTTTTTGTTTATTTTTTTGGTTTCCCTCAAAAATGAGCTGAAGAACCCTCAGTGAAACATATGAAATTTTGATCTCAACCTTGAGGCCTAGGGCATCAATACAGAATGAGCAGCATATAAGCCTTGTGCATAAGCAGAGAGAAGACCCAAAGGCTTGCTAGCATTGACAACTGTAGGAAAGGTATCTGGCTTTTCTTTGACAATCACTGAGGTTTTCAATTCTTATTCAGTGACTGAATTAAAACAACGGCAATCCCAGAACCTACTGAGGCAGAGGCAGGTGGATCTCTGTGAGTTTGAGGCCAACCTGGTCTATAGGACAGCCAGAGATACATGAAGAAACCCTGTCTCAAGAAAAACAAAAGCAAAAAACAAAACAATAGATTTCTCATTTATATCAATGTTAAGAATTTCTTTTCCACTTTCACTTTGTGACCAAATTATCCTTCTTTATATATGCATCGTGTGTGTGAGAGAGTGTGTGAGCGTGTATGTGTGCTGTCACCAACAAGTTCCTTTTCTTTATATATGCATTGTGTGTGTGAGAGAGCGTGTGAGCGTGCATGTGTGCTGTCACCAACAAGAGCCATAAAAGTTCCTTTTCTTTATATATGCATTGTGTATGTGAGAGAGTGTGTGAGCATGCATGTGTGCTGTCACCAACAAGGACCATAAAAGTTCCTTTGCTTTATATATGCATTGTGTGTGAGAGAGCGTGTGAGTGTGCATGTGTGCTGTCACCAAGGGCCATAAAAGTTCCTTTTCTTTCATGTAAAGAAATCGTGGGGGTAGGTGAGCCTGGGATAGAATGGTGGTCGTATGAAAGAGACTGAAAACAGCGTAGCTTCCCACCATCTATCTCCACGCTTGTCATTCACAAATGTCTGTATTGCTTCTATTTAAAATGTCTGGGAATGAGTTCTGGTTTTTTTATTTCAAGCTCAGTTGAAAAGACTTCTGCTTTTTCCAGCTGGCTTGAGAAGAAGAGAAAGAAACTGGGAGAGGTGAGTTTCATGCTTTGCCCCTTAGGAAATGATGCTGTAGACTTGACGGGTTTCCCCACCATCTCACCCCTTTTATCTGAATGAACAAAACCTGTAAACGAAACCCTTTCTTTAGGAGTAGCTACAGACATCTTCAGACCCCTCCCTATCTAGTCTCTGTGGGAAGGTAAGAAATATTTGAAGAGAGGACAGAAGGAAGCAGTGGCTATCAAGGGGGATTTCTGCCAGTCAGAAGCAAATTCCCAGTGTGATGGGATAGTATTCCTGTGGATCAGGAGTTATTATGACCTGGGCTTTCTGGTAAATATGATCTTATGTCCCTGGAAGTAGTTCCTGCTCCATGCCCTTTCTTGACTAACTCCCATTTTCTGTCTGGCACCTAATTGGATTATTGTTGTTAGTTTGTTCAGTGGATAAGTGAATGGCCTCTTCAGAAAAACAAATTGATCCTGGCCTTATATCATTGTAACAGCATGTTAGAAGCCCAACAAGGGAGAAACTGGGTGTTCTTCATGAAGGAGAGAAGGTGGGAAAAGATGAAGTAGGTCTGTGTGTTATTTTGTTGTTGTTGTTGCTGTCACCAAAATACCCAAGAGAACAACTTCACAGGTGGAAAACCTTATGCTGGCTCGAGTTTCAGAGGGCTCACAGCAGATGGTTGCTTGGCCTCAGGTGCCTGGGCAGAATATTGGGCTGGTAGGAGCATGTGGCAAAGTCTGTTCGATGATTGGCAAACTGGGTGCAAACAGAGGGAGTAAGAGGCTAGGAAAAGCTGTAGCCTCTAGGGCCACGTCTCCAGTTGCCCATTGCTACCAGCTAGATTCCACCTCCCCTTTACTGCGTCCCAATTGTGCCATCATATTATGAACCCATCAAGGGATTAATCCACTCATGACATCAGTGGCCTCATGGTCTAATCGTTTCTGGAGTCCTTTCAGACATACCCAGAGGGTGCTTTGCTAATCTTTTTAACATTTTTATTAGTTGTTGTTAGGGTGTGTGTGTGATCAGAGGACAACTTTTAAGAGTCGATTCTCTCTTTCCATCATGGGTTCCAGATTGTGCAGCAAGTGTTTTTACCCCTGAGCCCTGTCACCTGCTGCTCTCGGTGTTTTAGTTGTTTATATTTTATGTATGAGGGTGTACACCTGCATGCCAGAAGAGGGCATCAGATCCTATTGTAGATGGTCATAAGCCACCATGTGGTTGCTGGAATTGAACTCAGGACCTCTGGAAGAGCTGCCACTGCTCTTAACCCCTGAACCATCTCTTCGGCCTCACCTCAATGTTTTTTTTGTTTGTTTTAATTCAGTCCAATTGACACAGTCTGGAAATGAGGAGTTTCATTCATCAGGGTGGAATGTTGGGAGGAGAATGCTTCAGAGAGTGACTTGCATGATTTCTTCCAGAAAAGCAAGCCATCTCTGTATTTCTCTGGAAGGCAGTATACGTCAACACACTCAGGAAGTCCGGGGGTGATTGTGCCTCCTCCCTCCCCAGTGCACTTATTTGATGAATTAAGTTCAGAAGCCATACCTCTATTGGCCCAAGTCGACATACTTCCCCAGGATCTCCTGAAGGAATGGTGAGTATCATGGAGTCAGTGAGGAGAGCCAGAGCTGCTCTTTATTGAAGTTGAAAAGGGCAGAACCATGTGCTTTGAGGAGAACAGGGAGCAAGCTCCACCCTACTTCTTTGGATTACTAACATGCAGGGTGACATTCATCACTGCCACCATTCATCAAGCACTGACCATCTACTGGGCTCCAAGCTAAGCCTATTAGGTGGACTCTCATTTGAATTCCTGTTCTCTTTTCCCCCTCATTGATTAATTATGGACATTTGCCCATTTGGGAGGTATAATGGTATGTGTAGTTTGGAGTACATATTGAAACTTAACTGGCTTTGTGAATTATTGGTAACTTATTTAGCTCATTTCTGCCTAGCTTTCCTCATCTGCAAAATGAGGAGGATGATGAGATCTGTTCTTAGGGTGCTGTAAGAGGTTAGTGGTATAAAGCATAGGAGTCTGGTATAGAGTTAGCTTTTAATTGAGTGGAAGACATATTACTGAGAGACCCATGCAAGCCTTTCTAGAGCCCAAGTGGAACTTTCTTCAAAACCCCCTTTCTTTCTCTCAAGCTCCATTCTCTGGGAAGAGCCGACTGGGAAGTGGCTGACTGTCTAGATGTCTCTGTCCCCTTTAGCATTTTGGCACATGAGAAAACCATGACTTGTCCTGAGGTAAAGATAGAGTTGGCCAAGATGAAAAAGAATCTTCCTCTGGAAAAGACCCGCCCCGACAGCGCTATCTCTTCTAAGATGTATCTAACTGTGCACCGCCTGACCCTGCAAGTAAGAGCCATGGTGTCTCAGAGGAGAAGGCCTACAAGGAAGTCATGCCCATCTGTCTTCAAGACAGGAAGATTTGGCTATCTGCTCTCTTTGTTCTGCACTGCAACTCTGGACCCAGGCCTTGCAGAGCAGAGGGCTGGATTATATGGGAGTGAAAGCCAGTACATAGGGAGGGGCAAGGGGAGCAATGTCTCTGGGTCTTTTGGACCCCATTTTCAACTCCTTTTCTTTCTTCCTTGGACCTTGGTAGAAAGCTGCTGCCAAACACCTGTTTTTTTAAAGCATGCTTACAGACTAGGTAAATGCATGCTTGGGGCAGAGAAAGACCCTCACAGGAGCTTTTCGTACATGATTTTTTTCTGGCAGAGACCATCGTTGAGGTACCCTGAACATCTGAGGAAGCTGCAGTACAACCTGAAGAGAGCCGAAGGACCTTCAGGTACCATCCTCCCGTCAGCCACTGAACTGCCACTGTGTTCTCTCATGTCACTTGGTCCACAGTCACACAGGGTCACGTGGATAACTCAGGAGACTCCAGTTTTAGAGCAGCTTCTTGCTTGGTCCTGGCCAGGGAAGCAGAGTACCATAGTGGGGCAGGTCACAGTAGGTAGCCTAGCAGGTGTGGGCTCTCAGTCGGGGAGAGGACTGAGCTGGCCTCTCTGGTTACCAGGTTACAGGAAGCAGCAGAAGCAGCAGCAGAGGAAGGTGGAAACCTCTACTGAAATGCAGGTATAGTAGTAGCAGGTATAGTCTCTTGGGTGGGGGTACAGCGAGGACTGGGAAGGGGTAACTGAGAGGAGGGGTTCTCCCCTATCTGCTGGGTGTGGATATGACATTACTATCTGGCTGTCATTAAGTTCTTTCTCCCCTGTCTGTCGGGTGTGGATATGACATTACTACCCAGATGTCTTTCTTTTTGCAAAAGTTTTCTTTGCTTCCAAAAGTCCTAATTCAGTTCCTTATGTTGGTTTCAGGAGGCTGAGAAGAAAGTCAAGAGTGATGTGGAGAATGAGTATAGTATGTACAGGTTGACTTTTATAACCCTACCTTTGCTTACTCAAGTGGTGGCTATAGTTAAGGCAGCAGTCAAACAGGCCTTTGTCATTGTAAAACTTGCCTTTGTCAGGCATTCAGAATTGTTCTGGAAATGCTCAGTCTGGCTGACTAATCTGCCCCAATCATCCTTGAACTAAATAGTAACCGAACAAGCAGGTTAGCTATATGTCTGCTTCACACAGGCATTCGAGAGATGGCTGATTTATAGTTGTATTTTCTTCAGAGCAAGAATCAGGTGTAGTAATATATGCTTCTACCAGTACATCACAGGCTGAGGTGGGAGGGGTTGGAAGTTTGAGGGTTTCATAGACAGATCATGTCTCTCAAGAGCCCTCTGGTTTCCCTACCAAAAGCTGGAGAGTTCTGAGGCTCACTGGGTAGTCAACCGATTGTTTCAACAGTAGCCAGTACTCAACAGGCAGCCTTTTTAAACCAGTGTTGATGTTGAAACCCAGAATAGTACCTCTGTTTATGGAACTCTGATCTCACACGACTGAAGGGTACATGGAGCACTGTCTGGCTGACATTTCTCAGCTTGAATGCAGAGTAGGAAAGGCCAAGGAAGACTCTCCTAGAATCTTGTAAGATTGTTCTGCCTTGCTCAGACTGTGTATTGCTGGCTTTACTTTGCAAACAACCAAATTCTCAGAATTCGTTCTGGAATCTGGGGTCCCTGAGAAAGGTGCTGCCCTCTTGCTTTGCCTTGCATCCTGCTGTTCTCTGGTGTCACTCTGTCCATTAGCCTGAAGGTTCTGACCTTCATGTAGGAGGGAGAGCAGGCTGAGGCCCAGGGTCGAGGAGATATTTCCCAGGTGAGTTCATATCCATGATGGTCACTCCCACAGTTATCTTCTGGTACCTTTTGTGCTTCTTTCTGATACTCCCAACAAGCTGTTTTGCTTGGGTGACTGGTATTCCTCTCTGAGTTACGGTCTCAGAGCAGTGGCTGTCCTCCCTGAGCTGATATGGACTTTACAGAGAAGACAATGTGTGAATTGGATACTGATGTGGGGAAAGGATTCCTGGAATTGAGAGTAGCCTATGAAAACACATCTTGCTTAATATGATTGCTTAGAATGGCTATGGGGATTTAAGGGAGAGTATGGAGAGGGGTCCTACAGAGACTCTCTGCACCTGTATTTGCCCTTTAGGTCCTAGGTCAGTATGTCCATCCTGACTACACACTGATGCCAACTGAGAAGCTTTTAAAACTTAACACCCAGCCCGAACCCAACATTAGAATTTCTGGAATTGGGGACCCAGGTATGTTAAAGATTCCCAGTGCTGCTAGTGTGAAGCTTAGCTGAGAACCAGTGCTCTTGGGAGCATGATAAGTGTTCTGTTTTAGCAGAATATTTGGAAGCTGTTCATCTAGAGAAGGTTGAGAAAGAGGATGGTTGCATTCAGGGTATGGTTGTGAAATCGTGTACGTAAAAGAAACACCCCAGGGCCTGTATTCAGAAACTAATACGGGCCTGTTGGGGTGTCACCAGAGGAGGGCAGTCACATTCTCAAACAAGAGATAGTAATGAATGGAAACAGAGATAGCAGCCTCTTGATTTCTTTTTGAGACAAGTTCTCACTGTGTAGCCCAAGCTGGCCTGGAACTCACTAGTAGATCAGGTTGACCTCAGACTCTTGATCCTTCTTCCGTTGCTTCTAGGTGCTGAGATGATGGGTGTGCACTGCCATGCCTGCCTTAGAGATCCAGTTTCTTTGCTGATAATTGCAGGGATCCACTTTGCACCTCTTTGAGGAATTCTGGGTCTCTATATCTCTGTTGTCTGTCGCCTTTGTTGACCAGTTTTGAATGCAAGTTACATATTGCTTTCTTCTTGTATTTCCCAATTGTCCTCCCTTGTATTTGCTCTTTCCTTTCCCTATATGGTGAGACTTGACTTTTCATCTCAAAATTTTTTTTGCCATCTTTGATCAGCTGGTGCTGACACCTTGCTGGGGGCAAGTGCCCACATGGACAATTGTGTCATCAGCTTTTGTCTGCTCTACTTGTTCAGTGTAGATGATACATTTCTTTCTGAAATCCTGGACTGCTTCATCACTTTGATGACTTTTGAGATGTCCTTGTACAACATAAACTTTCTTATCCTTTAATGGGCATAGATTGAACATTACACTTCTGTCTCAGTTCTTTGGACAGTTCTATGGTTCTTGCTTCAGTCAGAAGTCATAAAGAGATTGGACTTTATTTGGTGCCTGCCTCTCCAGCAATGGCCTCAAAGAGGCTTGTGTCTCTCTCTTTAAATTTAAATTTTATTTTATGTTTATGGGTGTTTTTCATGTGTACCTGTGGACCCTGTGGCTGTGGTGCCCAAGGAAGCCAGAAGAAGACATTGGATGCTCTGGGATTAGAGTTTCTAGTGGTTATGAACTTCATTGTGTATTCTGGGATGTGAACCTGGGTCCTCTGGAAAAGCAACTAATCCTCTTTACCACTGAGACACCTCTCCAGTCCTCTTCCTACTTTTTTTTTTTTTTTTTTTTTTTTGAGGCAAGTTCTAATGGTGTAGTCCCAGCTAGCCTGGAACTCGATATGTAGATCAGGCTGGGCTGGAACTCATCTGCCTCTGCCTCCTGAGTGCTGTGTGCCTCACCACCTCTGGCACTGAGTCTCTTGAAACATGCTTTATTCTCACTTTTAATCTCTAGCAGATGTGGTTACAACCTAGGTAGATAGGACCACAAACAGAGCTCAGAAGGCTTTATATGGGGTATGCATATTTTGAAACATCACATGGAAACTCATAAATAGGTACATTATTTTTTATACATCAGTTATAAAAAAATAGATGCTCCTTGACAAAAATGACATTTAGAAGGTCTAACTCCCTTTTATCTACCAGCAAGGCCTCATCTTGTCCTGACTAGGGAACTACTTTAGGGGTCAACTAGAAGTCCAGCAGTGGGGCATGAAATGCCAATAAGAAGAGGATTGAACCTACTTTGTGTTACTAGGCCCAAGAATCCCATCAAGACAGGAAAGTAAACAAAAGCAGAAGGAGCAGGAAGAGGAGGGGAAGAAAGCCAGTATGAAGCGCGTGAGTGTGCCCCGAGACCTCTGCGGCCCAGTTTCGATCTTCTCCTGCTGTAGCAAACTACCAAAGTACAAGCAGAGAGGATCTATTCAGTTACTCTTTTTCTTGAGGTGGGATCTTGCTATGTAGCCCAGGATGTCTTCATACTTGATGATCTTCCTGCTTCAGCCTCCAGAGGATTATGATCACAAGCTCATACCACCATGCCTAGCCATGATGTGTGGTTTCCAATAAGTCTGGGTTGACTGGACAGTCATCCTCTTATTTGAGGTCATTCAGTACCCCTGGAAGGGGGGGCTCTTAGTCAAGTTGCCTGTGTTCTCGCCTATGATTTCTCTCTACGTAATTTATTAGTGCTTATTGAAAGACTAGTCACTTTCTATATTTTAAAAATACATTTATTTTATATCTATGTTATTGAGAGAGAGAGAGAGAGACAGAGACGGGGGGCGGTGTATTATGTATGTGCAGTGCCTGCAGAGGCTACAAGAGGATATCAGATCACTGGGAACTGGAATTGGAATTGTGGATAGTTATTTGCTTCCTGACATGGGTGCTGGGGACTAAACACTGCAAGAGCAATATATGTTCTTAACTGCTGAGCCATCTCTCAGTTTTTTAAATTACTGATTATTTTTTTAGACACTCCATAAGAAAGTGTTACTTCTTATACCATTTATTGACTAAAGTAACCACCATTTTACATAAATTCCCAGGAGTGAATTTTCTTGATGAGAGCAGTCTGGCAGTTCTGGGCAGCCACCTCTGGAGGCAAGCTTCCCTTGGTTGATTCCTAGAAATGGGGATAAGTGGGCCCTGGCTTCATCTAGGTGGCCTGGAAAACAATGAATGTGGCTTGATTTCTGTCCTGGGGCTCTTTATTCTGCCTTAGATGTTAATTTCCCCAAGAAAAATGTCTTTGAGAAAGTTCCTTTAGTTTGCTAGATTTACATTTCTTCTGCTTACCCCCATGAGTTTAGGTTTCCATAGATGACTCAGTGGCATCTGATGCGGACACCTACTACACAGACTACTCCATCAGTCCAGAGAGTAAGTGCTAACCCTGCGCTGGCTAGGATGGCTGGCTTTGTGTCGAGGAGGAGCAGGGTGGCGGGATGAGCACAGTCCTTATGCTTTGGAGGGTCCTGAGGAGAGCCAGTCTTTTCTCAAATGCCTCTTGTTACAGTTATTTGGGAGAAACGCCCATGCTATTAATGGTTGGGTCTTCTTTTAGGTCCTGTAATATATGAGTCAGCTTACAAGGACATGAGTGATGTGGATGAGACTATGCTGGGAATGCTTCCTTCCAGCCCAGACAGCAGTCCCAGGAGTATGTCCGGAAGTGTGGACAGAACCGGCTGGAACCCTGATCTCAAACTGCTGAGGATTCTTCAGGCCAGTGTTGAGGAAGATGAGGACAACCATCTTTCTAGGGCACAGAGCGAGTCGTCTCTGGATGCTTAAACTGGGGATGCTTAGGCTCGGTATTTTGAGGACATTGACTTTGGACATTGGGTAGAAAAGAGACTTTTGTTCTCTGGATTCCTCCAACAGGATGAGGGCTTAGAGACCTTGCTTTTTTCATTTACTTTACAACTCCAAAATGAGTGAGAAAAAAGCCCTAGTACCGGTAAATATAGGGAACTTTTCCAGGGCAGATTATTTCCACGATTAAACCCAATCTATCAAAGGACTTGTTCTCTGTTTCCAGGAAGAGAGGAGGTAGGTGCTTCCTTGTGTCTGTTTTCTGGGTCCCTTTTATTGCTCTGAAATCTTTGCAGTGGTAGGAAGCTGGACTCAGCTATGGGAACCTCTATAATATCCCTGTATACTCCACTCATCCCTTGGAGGTGCCTTCTCTTGGTAACGGGGCCTGCACCATTATCCAGTGTTAATCATTGTGGGCTGCTCCCACCTTAGAGTTCATCTTAGCTACAAATAATTCAATATCGAAAAAAAGCACTAAAAATCCAAAAATTATTTCATTACACAGAACTGATACTGATTGCTTGATTTCACATATCTAAGCACATTCAAATTTTCATGTCTTATTAAGTTTTTTTACAGTTGACATATTCATATTAGATTTATAATTTATAATTAGAATATAATTCATATTAGATTTATTTTCTCAGTATGCTCTAATCTCTTTTAATTTGTACATCCCCCTCATTTTTTTCTTTCTCTTTCCCTAGAATTCATTCCAACTCTGAAGAACTTAACAAAATTTCTAGTTTCTAAGAAATCTAGTCATGCCGGGCGGTGGTGGCGCACGCCTTTAATCCCAGCACTCGGGAGTCAGAGGCAGGTGAATTTTTGTGAGTTCGAGGCCAGCTTGGTCTACAAGACCAAGTTCCAGGACAGGTTCCAAAGCTACAGAGGAACCCTGTCTCAAAAAAAAAAAAATTTAGTCTTCAGGGAAATTTCAATGTCTATAAAGACAAAGACCCAGAATTCCAGAGTCTTAGGAGTCTTCTAACTTGGTTTTTGTATGGATTTTTTTCCATTGTGTTTAGTCCATAAAAAACTTTTACTATTAAAAAACTAAAATCTTTTAACCTGTAAAATTTCAAAATTGCATAAAAAGTAAAGGGAATATAATATAATATAGCAAAACTCTACCTGGAGCATTGGTCAGTTTTTTTTTTTTAAAGGCCTTTGGTTGGGTTAGACCACATACTTTAGAAAGACCTACTGTTGCTTTGTTTTGTTTTTCTAACTAATGTTGTTTTTCATGGATGGAGAAGTCTGTAAGACTTAAAAAGATGGTAGAGCTTACCATCTTTTTAAAATGTAACTCTTAAAGTTCTTTGAAAACTTCATAATGCATATCATGTATTTTGATCATATTGACCCCTGTGTCTTTCAAGCATACCTTCTTGAAGTCTCATTTCTTTTGTATTTGACCCCTGTATCTGGAACCCTAGAATTCCTTAACTAAATGGTCTCACACTTGCTTCCATGGCCTCTGCAAGGCTCTTTCCTGAGCCTGTGAGCTATATGTGTGCTGCTGGGTTTGAGGTGCTTAAAAGAGGTCTGGTTCGAGAGCATGCAGCCGGAGCTTGGGTGCCAGGGCCAGAGCGTCTGCAGGTGAGACTCATCAGAAGAGGAGCCAGAGACATGAAGACGGGCCGTGTACTTAGGCTGGTTCTTGGATTGCATTGGATGTCAGGTGTGGCACCTCCTGAAGCTGTGAGGCTTGGATGATGATGGACTTCTAGGTAATGAGTATAGCCTGGTGACTTGGTTACTTTTCTCTTACTGTGATAAGCCACAGTGACCAAGGCAGTTTATAAAACAAAATGTTTAATTTGTTCTCACAGTTTTGGTGACTTTGAGTTCATGATGGGAGCAAAGTCATGGCATCAAGAACCACTGAGAGCTTACGTTTTGATCTGAGAGTGTGAGGAGAGAGGGAGGGAGCACTGGGTATTGGAGCCTGGACCCTAGTGACACACCTCCTTCATCAAGGCCATACTTCCCAATCATTCCCAAACAGTTCCACCAATTGTGGGCCGAATATTCAAACGTATGGGCCTATGGGAGCCATTCTTATTCATAACACCACAACTGATCAAGTAGGAAAGTGTGTGGTATCTTGACTTGTAATTCTTACATGCACAAACATACTCAGTAGAACTGGTTTCATACTCTTCTCCTGGATCCTATAATAGTTAGGACTGGGTGCAGGTGAGATGGCTCAGTGTGTGAAAGCCTTGCTGTGTGGGACTGAAGACCCACAGTGGGAGGAGTTCCGACATCTGAAAGTTGTCCTTTATCTTCCACGTGTATGACATGACCCATATCTGCCTGCACTCATACCTACAAACCCCAAGTAACAAAATAAATTAAGTAAAATTTAAGAAAAAGTTGGGGTGAGATTGTGCATGTCCTGTGCAGACACTCTCACTGCTGTGGTAATGAGCTGTCTGACATGGGTGCAAGGACCCGATCCCGGGTCTTCACAAGAGCAGTGTGCACCCTTAACCACTGGCTATCTCGGCAACTTGTTAGTTTTCTTTGTCTGATTGTATCATCTAGTACAGTGTTAGCAGAAGTGGTGAAAGCAGACATCCTTGTCTTGTTCTTGACCTTAGGAGAAAAAATGCACTCTTTTGCCACAAGGTTGTTGTTAGCTATAGGTCTTTTCATAGGAGTCGTTATTAGATTAGAAATTCTGTCCTTCGCATGTTGAGAATTTTGTTCCTTAACTGTGAAAAGACATTGGTGTTTGTAAATTTTTTTCTGTTGTAATGAGTATTTTTGGTTGTTTATTCTATTAATATATCACATTGATTTTTTTCCTTTGGCTATTAAACCAACCTGCATTCCTGAGATAAATTTTACTTGATTGTGGCATATGGCTGTTTTTAAGTCTTTGGATTCAATTTGAATTTGCTAGCTTTTTTTTTTTTTTTTTGACAGCATCTTAGTTTGTAGCTTGGGCTGGTGTATCAGTTATTATGTAGCAGAGGCTGACCTCAGACTTACAATCCTCCTGCATCAGCCTCCTGAGCAGCTGGATTACAGGCTTGAGCCGCCATGCTCTAGGGCCCTATTGGATGTGCCCTTCTTGTGGTGTCCCTAGTTTTGATATCAAAGATCCATAATAAGTTGGGAAGTTTATGTCTTTATTTGTTGATATTCTTTGTTTTTTGGGAAAGTTGGTGAAGACATTCAGTTCTTTAACTTTTGGTAGAATGTGCCAATGAAGCAATGTGGGTTTGGACTTTTCTTTTGGGGTAGTTATTTATTTATTTATTTGATTGTTTATTAATTATGAACTCAACCCATTGTTTTAAGTCATTAGAATATTTATTTATTTATTTTTATTTTATGTGTTTGGGAGTTTTATCTGCATGTGTGTCTGTGCATCACGTGCTTGCCTGGTGCCTTTGGAGGCTCTGGGACTGGAGTTCCAGGTGGTTGTGGGCTGTTATGTGGGTGCTGGGAACTGAACCCAGGTCTCTGAAAGAGCAGCCAGTGCTCTTAACTACCGAGCTATCTTTTCAGTCCTGTTTCTTCTTTAGTCTGTTTCTGTAGTTTCTAAATATTTGTCAATTTCATCTAAATTGTCATTTCTTAGCACACAATTATATGTTATTTTTTGTAACCACTTTTTTGGGGGGGAAAGTGTCTTAAGATAGGGTTTCTCTATGTGGTCTCGGCTGTTCTGGAACTCACTCTGTAGAAAAGACTGGTCTGAACTCACAGAAATCCAGTGCCTCTGCCTCTCAAGTGCTGGGATTAAAGGCGTGCTCCACCACTGCCTGGATGTATATATATGTTATTTCTTATGATATCTTTTATCTCTGTAAGGTTGGCAGTAATGTCTCTGTGTTTTTCCTACGCCTGGCCCTCTCTCTCTCTGTTAAGACAGGTTCTCCTATAGCCTAGCCTGACCCGTAATTTACTGTTAGCTGAAGATGACCTTGAAGTCTCCATCCTCCACCTCTCCCTCCTGGGTGCTCAGCATATCATTGCTTGATTCCTGATTAGTAAGTTCAGAAGTGAGTCTTCCTTTTTTATTTTGTTTGTTTGTTTTGCTTTGTTGATTAGCTAATGATTTGTCAGCATGATTTCTATTTTCAACGAACATAGTTTGGTTTTCCTTGTTTTTTTTTTCCATTAAAAAATGACTTTCCAGCCTTTTTGTTCCAATTTCCTTCTTTCTGTTTGCTTTGACTGTTTGTTCTTTCCCCAGTGTCTTAAGGTAGAAGACAGGTTGTTGATTTTAGTATTTATTTGTTTGTTTGTGTTTGTAGAAGCAGGGATTGGATTTAGAAGCAGGGATTAGATTTAGAGCCACTTGTACTAGGTAAACGGTCTACCCCTGACCTATAGATCTCCACATGTACTAGGTAAACAGTCTACCCTTGACCTATAGATCTTCATCTCTACCTTTTGAATGTGGGTCTTATTTTTTTCCACCTTAAAAAATCAATTTTATTTGGTTACAATTCTCTTAACTATTTCTAATGATTTTCATCCTAGATTCTATTTCTTTTTAAAAGCATAATATTTTTATTGATTTTTTTCGGGGAATTTTACATCATGCACTTCAATCATGCTCAGCTCCCAGTTCTCTCATGTCTGTTTCCCGTTCCTTGTAACATCCCCCCACAAAGAGAAAGAAGAAGGAAAAAAGTCCACTTTGTGTTGTCCGTCTACTCACTGGAGCGTGTCCAGACTCCCAGTGGTCATTAGCTGTGGAGAGCTACACTTCAGCATCCTTAGGACAATTTTAAGAGTTCTCTTTGAGGGGGCTGGAGAGATGGCATAGTGGTTAAGAGCACTGGCTGTTCTTCTAGAGGACCCAGGTTCAATTCCCAGCATCCACATGACAGCTAACAACTGTCTGTAACTCCAGTTTCTGGGGATCCAATACCTTCACTCCAATCACATAAAATAAAGTTAAATAATTAAAAAAAAAGAGTTCTCTTTCTCAACTGTACATCTGCAGCCACTGACCTCAAAGGTCAGTGGGGACACAGATCCTGGACTTCTAGAACATGGTTTCCAGCAAAAACATGGACCACCATCATCCATGTGGTCTCCAGAATTAGCCCTTGCCAAGGGCCTCTGCTTGGTCCCCAGGGGTACTAGTACAGCTTGAGACATCAACATGGCTCTCTGCCAAAAGCATGGGCCACTGACCAGCATGGACTCAGGGAGAAGTACGAACCACGGAGGTCTTTCAGGAGGTCCAATCCAGTGAATGGACCATCCTTCACCTCGAGCATCCTGTTACTGTTCAGAGCCAGGGTGATCGTGGGACTGAGTCGGCCCAAGCTCCAGGCTGCTGGACCCACCCTGCGGACCCTACTGGGAACCAACCCTCTCTCACTGTCACAGTTGTCTCCAGTTCCAACTCGCGGACGCACTGCTCTGCTCCTCCATTCCCCACCTCTCCATCATGTATTTGTTGTGGTGGTGGTGGTAGAAGCTGCAGTGTGTCACGCAGTGTGCCTTCTGCCCACAAGCTTCACAGGCAGATGTTCATTGCTATCAGTCATTGGACTGCTTCAAGGTCTCTGACTTCTGCCATATACCATCAATACTGGATCCCCTCTGAGCCTCCTCAGATACCACTGCCCTGTGTCATGGAGATTCTCTGGGTCTGGTACTGCAGGAGCAGCACCTTCACAGTGCTCCAGCAGTTATATGTGGAGTAATGTTGTTTGTGGTGGACCAAGGCAAAGCCCTGGATCTGAGCCTGGGTGGTGACTGCCTTGGTCATCCCAAGCCTCTGTCAGACTGGTAAAGGGAGGGGCTGGGTCTTATTTGTTGAGAGAAGGTCTTATTAAGTTTCCCATGTTGGAGCTGGGTGGTGGTGGCACACACCTTTAATTCCAGCACTTGGGAGGCACAGGTGGGAGATCTCTGAGTTCAAGGCCAGCCTAGTCTACAGAGTGAGTTTCAGGACAACCAGGGATATACAGAGAAAGCTTATCTCAAAAAACAAAAACAAAAAAAAACCAAAAACAAAACTTACCAAAAATGAAAAATTAAACCAAAACAACAACAACAAAGCCCCAAGCAACAGCAAAACCACAACAAAGCCCCAAGCAACAGCAAAACCATTTAAATAACTTTTCAATGTTGGCCTAGAATTCGTATTCTTGTAGCCAAGGTTGGTATTGAACCTGCAATCCTGAGTAGCTGGGATTATAGCCACCTGGCCTGGTGGACTTCTTTTTAAATATAGGTACAGGGCTCTAAGTTTCTAAGTACTATTTTAACAATAACCTATACATTATTATATATCTTAATTTTAATTGATCTCAAGCATATTGCTTATCTTTCTGATAATTTATTTCTCAGTTATTTAAGGGTACATGTTATTTGATTTCCACATATTTGTGACTTTCACAGATTCTCACTTTCTCACCTATGTATACATGTATTTGGGGACGTTTCTGAGCTCAAGCTTTGGTGGTAGGACGGGGACAGTGCTGTACTCTCTGTGTTAAGAGCAGAGCGATTGGTAGATGTGGGTCTTGAGACCTTGCCTGCCTCTGTTGGTATGAAACCCTGCTCCATAGCAATGACAAGGCCACCCAGGGCCCCAGTATTCTCAGTGGGACCATGCCCAGAGTAGATCCCCCTTCCATTATAGGGCCTGGGTGGAAGAAGGGAGTCCTCACTCAAATAAGCTAGTGTACTGATCTGGAACTTAGGTTTGGAAACAGGTAGTAGGGAGTTGATAACTGGTCTCTCCTGGAAAATAGTCCCCTGATTTGTTGCTGGAGATGAGGCAGCCATGCATTTTTGGCTGCTGTAGACCAGAGTATACTTTCTGTTTCTCAGAAAGTTCATATTCTTCGTCACATACCATAAAACTTGAGAGTTTCAAGAAAATTTTGTAAACTTTATTTTCCTCCCTCTCTCCTTCCCTTCCTTCCTTCCTTTCTTTCACAGGGCTGGAGAGATGGCTCAGTGCTTAAGGGCATAGATAGGCTAATCTTCCAAAGGACCTGGGCTCAATTCCCAGCACCTACTTGGTTACTGTCTGTAACTCTAGTTTCAGGGGATCCAATACCCTCTTACAGACATACATGCAGGCAAAACACTAATGCACATAAAATAAAAATAAATTAGTTAAAAAAATAACTTTTAAAAATATGGTGTGTGGGGGGTTAAGGGTGCGTGTGGGAGGTAGAGGTGTGTGTGTGGGGGGTAGGGGTGTGGGGGGTAGGGGTGTGTGTGGAGGTAGGGGTGGGTGTGGGTGTGTATGCACACACTCGTGCGTAGGTCAGAGGACATTTTGTGGGATTTGGTTCTCTCCTTCACATCAAGGGTCCCTGGGATCAAACTTGGGTGTTAGACTTGGCAGTAAGTGCCTCTACCTTCTGAACCATCTTGCCTGTCTGTTTTTGTATATTTCTTGAAAAAAATGTTTTTCCTCCTCTTTTTCTAAGAGATTCATTTAGTTTATTTCATCTCCATGACTGTTTCCCTACAGGTGTGTAGTGCCATGTTCGTGCATGGTGCCCTCTGAGGTCAGAACAGGGAATCAATTCCTGTGGAAAAGAAACCACCACATGGGTACCAAACCTGAGTTGTTGTTTTTTGTTAAATAAGAGAAACAAGCACTCTTAACTGTTGAGTCATCTCTCTAGCCTGTTGGAGAAGTATTGTTTGGTTGTACACCTTTGTGAGTGTTCCTGCAGACCCGAGTCTGAGTGCTTTCTTGACTGGAGAACAATGAAGCTCCTCACGTCCTGGGTCACATAGGAACTCTGGTTGAGTCCAAGATCTTTGAAGAGAAACTCTCCCTCATCAGTTATTCATTATCCTAAGGATAGTTTGATTAAACATGATCTCGAAATGGACCAAAGTAGAAAGCCAAACCT